AGCAACATTATAGAGTTTGATATTGTTATTAATTCTCAAACAAACTTATGAATGTTACTTGATATTCCTTACCATCAGGTCTTGGCCAGCTATGCAACTGCACATAGACATTGTCTTTGAACGCCCTTTCGATAATCATACCAAGCATGAAACTGCAACTTCTCCAAAAAGCCTAAGGGGAAAAAAAATTAACTTGCATAAAGATTCATTTTGATTAAATACAAATATTACAAGACTTACCTTGTTCACTTCATGAGGATCTTCGATTTTAAAATGCAAAAAATCTAGCGTACAGTCATCTTCTAACGGCCTGTGCATGTCCCACAACTCATTGTTAACGAGTGGAATAATGGATCTGATTCTCAACATTTCGCTAACATCTATAGAATGAGCAATCGTTTAGTGTAAAGAAAAAATAAGTCTAATAGAAATAATAGGTTTAACAGTCTTACGCATGGTACAGTCGTAAGGCGTGGATATATTTTTATTCATCAGTAGAGTACATTCTTCTGGCACTCCGACGTAGTTCACTTCTATTTTTTCTACTCTAGTTATCAGAGCCCGCTGCCGCGCCTTCTCCTTCTCGAATATTTTGTTTCGTTTTTCGCGGACTTCTTCGTTAGTCAATGTACAGAGATATTTCTGCCTAATCCCATCTAAAATATCTAATATTAAAATTTTAATTAAGGCAAACGAACTATATTGAAACCAAATGATTACTGAATTTAAATCGGCCTACTTTACCGCTACTTTTAATAATTAAACACTGGAATTTGGTAATAGAGGTAGGAAGTAGGCATCATCTCTTATTAAATTTAATAACTATAATTAAATTAATATTTATTAAGTAATTTAGAATATTCTGGAAGAAAAGAATTGGAACAGAGTGAGACTCGAACCCGCAACTGCCACTTACTGCGTGCATGCATTGACAGTTGAGAGTTCATATAATGACTGTCAGAGGAACAGCACTCCAAGCATGCAATCCAAACATTGCTTAAAAAGAAAAATTTCAGTCCACAGTCATGTAAAATTAATTTCTTACATATTTTTGGTAAGATCAGTAGAAAGACTGTTATATTTGACACCATCTTGAAATTCATTTAAACAGCTCACTAATTTTCTAGTCGTGACACCAATGTCCCACTTGCACCTGTCGTAACGAGATTGTGTCGACACCAGATTTCTCTAAAACAGTAAAACAATGCTCATCGTTGCATAGATTTCTATGGAACGACAACCAAGGATAATCATGATCCCATTTTTTTATAAGCACAAACTATTTATAAAGTGACAGGCCCGGGTGTGGAATAGGATGCACAGATAATGGCTTCTTGTTTTTGTAAATGGAATGAAGGATGGTATGTACTTCTCACACTGATAATACGACTTAATATTACTACATGTACTTATCGCATAGTCTCATTCAATTATTGCATACGTTTCTCATTTTTTGATAACTTTGTGCCTCATTTATTACGATGTATCATAAGCTGGACCCCACTCACATCTCAATGTAAGACTTTAGTATGCACCATGTATAATGTCTATATACAGTTGTGTGTACTATAATTACGATACAATTCAAGCTCCGAATAAGAGGGTCGGGACCTAATCAGAGCCGTAGAGCATACTCATAGGAGCAAAAAAGTCAAAGGAGCTATATGTTTACAAGCGACCCGTCACAAGATATAGTCCCCCCAAAATCAACTCATGCAAGATTGAGAGTCGCATTGCTCCGCTAAGACTATCACATTTAACTACTTAACACACGCAACTATGCCAGCTTCGAGTAGCCCACTTGGCTGTGGAGTACTCGATGTTACATAGTTTTAAGGGTGTGGGGCTTGAGTGCTGCTTGTGTGCTACTGCTTGCACCTCAGTGCCCGGGTGGGCACTGAGGTGCAAGCAGTAGCACACACCGAAGCACGCGACTATAAGCAGAGCATCAGTCAAGGCAAGCAACGGAGTACAGTGATGACACAGTGCACGGAGGGTGGCTCACTATACTGATACATGTTAAAAACTGACCTCTGGAGGAGAATATCTTGCGAAGAGTCACATGTACAGGTATGGTTCCTTTGACTTTTTTACTCGTATCAGGGTCTACAATTCTGAGGATGCAAAACTCCTCAGAGTTGAATCTTACCATTTATTCATGATTTGAATTCAATGGCTTTAAGTAGAAGTTACCTTTAGCACATTTAAGTAACTTATGTATTAAATGAGTACATAAAGGTAACTCATACTTACATTCCATTCATTACAGCACTAACACATCCAAATTATTTATAATAAAACATAATTAAATTCCTAAACTTACTTTTCCTTCTATAAAGGCAACATGTCGCCTCCCTCACGTAAAACCTCATCATAACTTCCAATAATCGTCAATTTCACATAAACAACAACACGACTCACGCCTGCATCACTTCGTACAGCGCACCCTGCCGCTATAAAACGTTTATTGGATAATCATTTAATTTTAAATTAAATTTAACAACAATAAAAAGTAATTTTTATAATTTTTTTCCCATTTATATCAGTATAAAGTTTTATTATTGTTAAATTCAATATTTTAATGATAATAAACAAAATAATTTTAAAATATTCAAATTTCCTCATAATTCATATATTTATAACTATAAAGAATTCGTTATTTTTTCGAGCCAAAATGATGAAAAAAGAACTTGGGCTTTCTCGAGCCGCTGCCGACCATTTTATGGAAACAGGCGGGCCGAAACAACGTCATTTCGCCGCCATCTCTAAACCACGAACCGGCGGCCACAATTACTCTTCCAGAAGTCGAATTTATTTAAATATTTTTTTGATTTCGCAGTGTGGCGATTGAGTTACGAGGCACAGACAATCTTCCGAAAAATTCCTGAATTTTTCTTTTGTCTGCCCGTGTTCTATCCCGTGTCGTACGTCGGTAAAATCGCCTCCATTTGCCTGGAATTAACACCGCCGCTAGGTGCTTATACAGTACTAAAGAATTTAATATTTTTATGATTCATTTCTATTGATACAAATTAATTCCATTTTAATAAATTAATATCCAGTTTTTTCTATAATATATTTTGTTTTTATAATTTACCTCCCATCGGTTTCTAATTGACGCAATATTAAAATAAACGGCATTTAAAAGCTTTGTTGTTACGGCAACGAGAATTGCGCGATCGAAGCGCCAAATAATTTTCCATAAATTCGAGTCTATTACGCAATATTTTTAAATATTTATACTTAATTTATATTTATTATTTTAATGTGAATAAATCGTATTATTAATATAATTAAATTTTTATTTTAATAGTCAAATTAAAGCAATTATACAGTATGAATGATGAGTGGAATCCGGGATCGAGTCCAGACCGGATTCCAAAATATGAGGATTTCGATTGGCATTTTTATCCTCGTTTCCCAGTATTTTATGGGCCTATCAGTCCCCATTCCCCAGCGTATTATAGGCATGTTCAAAGCTGATTGTTATTAAAATAATCCCCACTTTTCAATACTGAATAGAAATGTCACAGTATTCAAATGCATAACCAATTGGCCAAGAAAATGCCATTTTACACACTTTTACACACACACAACTAAGAGTTTAGGCCATGTAGACTTGAAACAGATTACGATGAACATGGGTTCCGAGGACCATCAGAGTCGAAACGAACAATTGGTAAAATCGGTTGTAGATACCGATTGTCTTAAGTTTGCTACTCGCGTGCAATGGCCTTTTTGGTTACCCTGATCCATCGATGTTCTGAAGTCTCTGTCGTGGTAATCACCGGAGGAACTAAATAATGCAAGACGCGTATTCACAGTAGTAGTTTGTAACTCGCCCGATGAATTCCGACGAGCTATTTCTCGACTCTTCATCCTGAAGTAGTGCCGTATTGTCCGAAAGCAAACAGATTGTCATTAGCATAGATTCGAATTCCCAAGTAGCGCACAGAGCATCCGTTCTAATTTTCAGCCATCGTTTCAAGCGGTTTCTCCGGTTTTATGAGTGGAAAACACAATACTTCCTAAAAAAAGTCATTATATTAGTTAGGTTTTGATACTAAGACAATGTGTTTGATATAAATTTACCTTTATGTTCTTGCAGTCCGTCAGAAGCATGGTCAGTCTGTCGATTCCCATTCCCCAACCCGCCGTCGGAGGCATGCCGTATTCTAGAGCCATGCAGAAGTTTTCGTCAAAAGAATGAGCCGCTCTGTCGCCTTCTGCCTTTAACTATGGAAAATGTTCGTAAATACATGCTGCAGACACGTGCAACAATAATTAAGATAATTGAACTTACTTTAGCTTGCTGTTCGAATCGTTCCCGTTGAATTACGGGATCGTTCAATTCGGTGTAGGCATTTACAATTTCAAATTTTGCAACGAATAACTCGAACCTCTCCACCAGACCGGCAATTGAGCGGTGCCTTGAAAAGAATACGTATTTTGANCGGTCTCCCCCGTCGGGATCTTCTCAGAAGCTTTGGGCAAGCCCGTCGTATTCTGGAAAAGTTAACAAAAGTCTATTATACCAAGTTATTGTACTTAATATACCAAGCCTCGTCTTTGCATCGACAGACTCAATTGTCGAAACAAATTGTTCAGGAACTAGTAAAACGCTTTTGATATGCCATTCCAGACAAAAAGAAACCTTGAAATTTCACCCTTTTTTGTTACCTTTCTATAGACAAAGAACAAACAATGTTACAGATCATTGTAAAATATTTGTTTTAGCCAGACAATAATCTTATTAAAGTTGCTGGACTTGAATAATGGTCTCAAGAAAACGACATTAAATTTCACATATTACAGAATAAAATTTAATTTTTCTCAAGTAAGTTAGTGTGTTAAGTGATAAAAATGTGAAAGTAGAAAAATCAGAGTTTTATTAATGTTCCGAAGCTTGGAGATTCTTTGGACAGTGCTAAGAATCTCTAAACTACTGAATGACATATTTTGCATATGCTAAAAATGTACTTTTCTATTTAATAAAATATGGTAAATCTAGATATGTTCTGCATTTTTTCACATATTCCAAAATAAAAACCTGCTCATCTTCCATTTGGAGGAGTGATAAATTAAACTAAACAAATACTGCATTGGATAAAATTACCAATGATAAACTAAGAGGCAACAAAGGACTGTAACCATGAAAACTTCTTAATAACCATCTTGGAACAGATTCACAACTTATTCTAGCCACTCATTGCACATGCGCGACATGGCTTTTACTTAATTTTTTCAAACTTATAATCAAACTCTCATTTAAACGTTATCCGTAAACAAATAACCATCTTGGAATGGTTAAGAACCTGATGCAGAGCCCAGAAGGGGTTCGAAAACATTCGTTTTCCTTCTGTTACCACACCGTAATCGGTTCCGAGTGCGTCATTATTGATCCGGTGTGGCAAGTAGAAATTCACTTGTTTAATTATAACAAATTAGTGTGAAGTTTGTTGCTGATCGATGTAGAATGTGTGTGTTCTCTACATGCTCCTGCTCTAAATCCTTTGACCGATCTGCATTAAATTTTTCATAGTTACTCTATAGGATGTTGTGGAAAATATAAGCTAGCATAAAATCTTGATCCCCATTCCCTTCCTCTGATTTTATTTATTGGGAAGGGGTGTATAGTGCGTGTATATATATATGATACAATCAACTGCAAGCTGTCAAACTCTACGATCGGGATTCTAATAATTGTCGGAGATGTGATTCTGTGTCAAAATTAAATGCAAATTCGTTCATTTTTTATCTCGATGGTTTGATGCTTTTTATTTTCTACTTTTTGACTTGGGGACTACTACGTTCGCTTTCGGAGCAATTTTTATTAAACTCGATTTAAAAAATTAGTTATGTAATTTACAGACAATGCCGCATACTGATTCCTGAAGATTCTTATAATTGTTCAATGAAAACAAATACAGAGGTTTGAGACTAATGACGATCTTAAAAACAACCCATCTCAAGTCACTGGTGGCAACATTCTACGAAAAGGATATTTCAAAGCTCGTCCACAGATAGACAAATGCCGCAATCTTCGTGGTGATTATGTCAAAAAGTAACCATGTTTGTACCTAACTTTTGGTAATAAATTCATTATGTTATTTACATTTGTCTTTGTTTTATGGGCCATCGGAGGTTGAAAAAGAAACAGCCCTCATATTAGCGACATGACTGTGCCGCGCATCTGCTAGTTTATAAAAATTTCATCCGAGATAACTTGCAATATGGGGTGTTAAGAGTTGCAGGATTTGAATTTGGTGCCACTTTTTGTTGGAATGCTGCAGCACCACCCTGTACGCATAGCTGTGTTCTATCGGCTTGTGAAATTCAAGACGGAATTCAAGTTGCAAGCAACATAGAGCTTGCGTATTTTGAAGAACATCACAATAAGATTAGCAGTTTGTAAGAGAAAGAGAGATGGCCACTTGCACGAAATGTCTTTCACTCCTAATTTCCCATCTCTCACAATTACATTGGTCTAATAAAAATCTAATTTTGAGATAAAATGAAGTGTTTATTAACAAAATAAATCCTGCAAGTCTTAATGAATCACCCCACGTAAGTATAAAAGCATAATATAGGAGTTAAAAAACCTTAATTGAACTTACAGATTTTATTTAAAATTATTATTGTAAAGTAGTAAATGACCAGCGATTCAAATATAAGTTACGTCAACAAACTTACCAGTTTTTTGGCCCTATCCACTAAGATTTTAAAAGCAAAACTATTCAACTGAAATGAAATAAATTATTATAAGTAATTTATAGTCTGTATTCCATTTAAATTAGCTTTGAAACTTACCGGTAATTGCCTGGGCAATGCAATGCCTTGAAATCTATAAATCAGACCTTCCGAAGTATCTAATTTGTGAACCTATAAAATATTTACAGTAAATATCGTGCTCAAAGTGCAATATCGAGACCACAGTCTACTTACGGAAGCTACGCTCACAAATCCGAGATGTCTGGTGGTGGAGATCATCGGCCCCACAGATATGTCGATGTGATCGTCCAACCTGTATGCCGTGACTGTGTTACAGTCTTTTGAATGTTCCGCTATGCTCAAGAGTTGATGTAATTTAAATCTGTCATAGAAATAATGTAATTAGCATAAATTTAATATAAAATTATTGTGGACGATTAAAACAGGTAACCTGTTATCTTCGAACATTTCCTCGGCAACGGATAAAGGTAGTTCTAATCTTTCAAATTTTACGTCCCTCATAGATAACTTTTGTAGCATTCCCGTTAATGTGCGGAGTTCATCCTAAAATTCACAATACATTAGAATGATACATCGTAAGAAAAGCAGTCATTTCCTTTGCAAACTAATACTGACCGTTCGGGGCTCCCAGTCGTCGGTGCTCAAATTTACATCGTACACAAAACTTCCGCTTCTCACTACATCAACAAAAAGTGTTGTTAAAGTCCAAGCCATATTGAATTGATAAGTTAACTTAAGTTTTATGCAGCATAATGCAAATTTAAGTTACAAAGTATTAACAGTCTGCAAGTTCATTACAACAATTACTGATAGACCTGGTCCGCAATGGAATAGAGTATAGAAAACCACGATATATGCCCGACGGAAGTACGCATTTTGAGAGACAGAAACTATGCAGTAATACTGAAAAACCTAAGGGTTTAATAACAATTACAACACGAATAAATGATAACTAGCTTCTTTGGCTTGATGACAGCATAACAGATGCATTCTCAAAACTAACTGAGAATGTACGGCAGTATCGTGAAACATAGCAGTAAAGAAATCTGGCTCGAACGAAGCAACTGTCGGAGCAATTAGGAGAAATGAGAATTCCGTACAAAAATCTATCGTCCGAAGATCAAAACTTGGCTCAAACACATCGCCGTACAGTAGAGATGCAGTGTTACAAAAAAACAGATAATTTTTTAATGCTTTGGATTGAGGAGTTAATGCAAAAGCGGGTACCTGTGGATGAAGATATTATAAAGCAAAAGGTGCTATGAATTTATTAAAAACTACAGGAATCGAAACCATCAACAATCTTCAAGCAAATCATAGTAAAAAAAAATAATAAAGAATTTTCTATTAGTGAAGGATAGCCGAGAGGATTTGCATTTCACAATATTAAAATTAAATGGGAAATTGCACCTGCAGTTGAAAATGGTGCTAAAACCTTTCCAGGAAAACTAGCTAAAATAATAAGAGAGGGTGGCTATGTTCCTGACCAGATTTTCGTCACTTATATGATTTTTTGAGGAACATGTCTTCCGTATAAGAAAAGAGTCTGGTGTATTTAATATCCCTTAGGCATCTCTGTGGTGGTCCAGTCAAGTGGATCTTGATCTGAATCCTGAATTTCTTCTTATGGTGGCATCTCAAAATACTTGTTTACATACAATAATAGACTCCCAGCAAGACCTAGTAGTTGCCGTGGATGCAGTCATCACAACCGTAAAACCTGCAACGCTGCAAAGTGTACAAAGTATTATTCAACGGCCCAAATATCTCAGGAATGCTGCATCCAATCGAAAAACGGATAACAACACTTTTTTCCATTTGGTTTTTTAACAAGGAATTGTGTGGTATGATTATTGTGCAGTCTGTTCTGATTACCCTATATACACAATGGTCAGATAGGCGTAATAGTAAAAGTATCAGCCTGATACTCTGGGTATTGGTTTCAAATTTTCACAATGATTTGAACTAGTCACATCTTGATCCTCACTATATAACCACCCTCATTTTGAACATGAATCAACTAAGGTATACTAAGGTATCTTTTTTATGGTTCTTAATTATTTTTAAAAATGTACACAGTTTACAAGATTTTAAACCATTCTGTAAAATTTATTTCTTTGGATATGTGAATGAACTGCATAGGAGAACATCAGTCAATACTCCAAGTTTCACATGCATATGCTTAAAAGAGCTACCACACGATCTAGAATGCTAGATTGGTTCGTGCATTTCTTGGCTCACTTGATCATCTGATTTCACCATTTTAAAAAATTACTGTTTGTGAGTATGTCAATGATTGTGTTTAACCTAGAAAAGTGTCAGATATGAGGGCCACGTGTAAAAGAAATGTAGATACCATTAACAGTTTGGTTCCTAACATGTTGGCTCAGACACGGGTTGTCCTCATGCAGGCTCAGTCTCTTCTGGGAGGTCTTTTTAAGGAAAACTGGCCCATATTTAGGCATGGAAAAAACCCGGAAAACTCCACGTGGCCAGCCCATCCGAGCAAAGCGCAAACCCACAACCGAACTCCCAGTGTTCAGGGTACGAAGACCGCTTGGCCACTGGTGGGCTTGACTAAACATTGTAACCACATTAGGCGTACAGTAGAAATATATTATGTACGCACCTAGTAGTGAAGAAACACACAAAGAAATATACTGATTTAATCTAGCAAGTAACTTTTTCAGATGCACTTTCTATTACAACTGCCTATAGTACTATATTTGCATTTCTTTTCCCAAAATTAATCCACAAAACTAGGGAGATTTGACAGAAACACTCTGCATAGCAACATTATAGAGTTTGATATTGCTATTAATTCTCAAACAAACTTACGAATGTTACTTGATATTCCTTACCATCAGGTCTTGGCCAGCTATGCAACTGCACATAGACATTGTCTTTGAACGCCCTTTCGATAATCATACCAAGCATGAAACTGCAACTTCTCCAAAAAGCCTAAGGGGAAAAAAAATTAACTTGCATAAAGATTCATTTTGATTAAATACAAATATTACAAGACTTACCTTGTTCACTTCATGAGGATCTTCGATTTTAAAATGCAAAAAATCTAGCGTACAGTCATCTTCTAACGGCCTGTGCATGTCCCACAACTCATTGTTAACGAGTGGAATAATGGATCTGATTCTCAACATTTCGCTAACATCTATAGAACGAGCAATCGTTTAGTGTAAAGAAAAAATAAGTCTAATAGAAATAATAGGTTTAACAGTCTTACGCATGGTACAGTCGTAAGGCGTGGATATATTTTTATTCATCAGTAGAGTACATTCTTCTGGCACTCCGACGTAGTTCACTTCTATTTTTTCTACTCTAGTTATCAGAGCCCGCTGCCGCGCCTTCTCCTTCTCGAATATTTTGTTTCGTTTTTCGCGGACTTCTTCGTTAGTCAATGTACAGAGATATTTCTGCCTAATCCCATCTAAAATATCTAATATTAAAATTTTAATTAAGGCAAACGAACTATATTGAAACCAAATGATTACTGAATTTAAATCGGCCTACTTTACCGCTACTTTTAATAATTAAACACTGGAATTTGGTAATAGAGGTAGGAAGTAGGCATCGTCTCTTATTAAATTTAATAACTATAATTAAATTAATATTTATTAAATAATTTAGAATATTCTGGAAGAAAAGAATTGGAACAGAGTGAGACTCGAACCCGCAACTGCCACTTACTGCGTGCATGCATTGACAGTTGTGAGTTCATATAATGACTGTCAGAGGAACAGCACTCCAAGCATGCAATCCAAACATTGCTTAAAAAGAAAAATTTCAGTCCACAGTCATGTAAAATTAATTTCTTACATATTTTTGGTAAGATCAGTAGAAAGACTGTTATATTTGACACCATCTTGAAATTCATTTAAACAGCTCACTAATTTTCTAGTCGTGACACCAATGTCCCACTTGCACCTGTCGTAACGAGATTGTGTCGACACCAGATTTCTCTAAAACAGTAAAACAATGCTCATCGTTGCATAGATTTCTATGGAACGACAACCAAGGATAATCATGATCCCATTTTTTTATAAGCACAAACTATTTATAAAGTGACAGGCCCGGGTGTGGAATAGGATGCACAGATAATGGCTTCTTGTTTTTGTAAATGGAATGAAGGATGGTATGTACTTCTCACACTGATAATACGACTTAATATTACTACATGTACTTATCGCATAGTCTCATTCAATTATTGCATACGTTTCTCATTTTTTGATAACTTTGTGCCTCATTTATTACGATGTATCATAAGCTGGACCCCACTCACATCTCAATGTAAGACTTTAGTATGCACCATGTATAATGTCTATATACAGTTGTGTGTACTATAATTACGATACAATTCAAGCTCCGAATAAGAGGGTCGGGACCTAATCAGAGCCGTAGAGCATACTCATAGGGACAAAAAAGTCAAAGGAGCTATACGTTTACAAGCGACCCTTCACAAGATATAGTCCCCCCAAAATCAACTCATGCAAGATTGCGAGTCGCATTGCTCCGCTAAGACTATCACATTTAACTACTTAACACACGCAACTATGCCAGCTTCGAGTAGCCCACTTGGCTGTGGAGTACTCGATGTTACATAGTTTTAAGGGTGTGGGGCTTGAGTGCTGCTTGTGTGCTACTGCTTGCACCTCAGTGCCCGGGTGGGCACTGAGGTGCAAGCAGTAGCACACACCGAAGCACGCGACTATAAGCAGAGCATCAGTCAAGGCAAGCAACGGAGTACAGTGATGACACAGTGCACGGAGGGTGGCTCACTATACTGATACATGTTAAAAACTGACCTCTGGAGGAGAATATCTTGCGAAGAGTCACATGTACAGGTATGGTTCCTTTGACTTTTTTACTCGTATCAGGGTCTACAATTCTGAGGATGCAAAACTCCTCAGAGTTGAATCTTACCATTTATTCATGATTTGAATTCAATGGCTTTAAGTAGAAGTTACCTTTAGCACATTTAAGTAACTTATGCATTAAATGAGTACATAAAGGTAACTCATACTTACATTCCATTCATTACAGCACTAACACATCCAAATTATTTATAATAAAACATAATTAAATTCCTAAACTTACTTTTCCTTCTATAAAGGCAACATGTCGCCTCCCTCACGTAAAACCTCATCATAACTTCCAATAATCGTCAATTTCACATAAACAACAACACGACTCACGCCTGCATCACTTCGTACAGCGCACCCTGCCGCTATAAAACGTTTATTGGATAATCATTTAATTTTAAATTAAATTTAACAACAATAAAANTTCTATGGTGTCTCTAGTGCTTTACGGTGCTTCAAAATGTGCTTTACAGTGCAATGTGATTAGTGCTTTGATTTGTTGTGTGGTGCTATAAGTATTTCATGGTGTTTCTAGTGTTTTATGTTGCTACATGTGCAATACGCTACAACGAGTACTACAATGTGTTATACGGTGCTCCAAAGTTCAACATGCAACGTGTAAAGTGCTCTATGGTCCTTCAAAGTGCATTGTGAAGTGGGCTTTATGTACCTAAGAGCTCTAATTCATTCAATGTGCTCCAAAGCGGTGAAATTCACCTACTCCAACTTCGCTGGGCTTTCAACTTATATGTAGCTCAGCTATGTTTCCTTTGTGCTTAGATGATCTGCACAACAGCAGCATAATCGACATACCTCAACCTTCGCTGGGCATTCAGCTTATTGATGACTCAACCTTGTTTCTTTTCAATGAATATACACAACTATCTTCAAACTGTTTATAGACGTGTGTAGTAACTTTCAAACCACCAACTTTTATAAGGACTGTTCTGAACACTGATTTTACTTGGGTTCAAGTGATATTCACTGACACACAAAGTTCTGCTTAGAACTAAAGACTTTAAAGTACACATCTACAATGTACTCCAAGAGCTGTTCTGCACAGCTATGAACTACTAAGCATTTATTTATTTATTTATTTTCTTTTGTTACTCTGAACATTATAATTCGTTTTGATAATTTTATTTATCCTAATATACGTCATAAGCGTATTTAAAATATAACTTATTTACTCATATTGTTTATTACTATTTGTTATTATTGTATATGTATATAAATATTGGTAACTATATATATTTAAGAATATGTATAACTTCCTGGTAATGCTTTAGCGGGTCCGGGACAAGTACCAAGTACTTAAATAAAAATGAATAAAATGAATGAATGAATGAATATTTGAGAAGTTACTTATTCGTTAATAGAAAAACTAAACACAAAGGAATTGTCTAGAACAGCAGTTCTTAACCTTTTTATTGGTTAGCACCCCGTTGAATCTGAAAATAATTTTATTAAAACGAAGCTCTTGTTTTGAGAGACACGCGTAAGTCATCAGATGCATTTAAGCAATTTCTGGCTTTTGTTTTTATGTGCAAAAGTGCTGTATTCAAGGTATGCAAACACGTCTCAACTAGTTTCTGTACTGCACGTGACAATGTGACTACATTTACTGTATGTACCCACTGATGACAAGCGCTATGTGCTAAGAGACTGTAGAGTGTGTAGAAATTATGGTGCCGTGTTGCTGGTACCACAGTTTATAGAGAACACAGTCGCCTNATCCGGGATCGGGTCCAGACCGGATTCCAAAATATGAGGATTTCGACTGGCATTTTTATCCTCGTTTCCCAGTATTTTATGGGCCTATCAGTCCCCATTCCCCAGCGTATTATAGGCATGTTCAAAGCTGATTGTTATTAAAATAATCCCCACTTTTCAATACTGAATAGAAATGTCACAGTATTCAAATGCATAACCAATTGGCCAAGAAAATGCCATTTTACACACTTTTACACACACACAACTAAGAGTTTAGGCCATGTAGACTTGAAACAGATTACGATGAACATGGGTTCCGAGGACCATCAGAGTCGAAACGAACAATTGGTAAAATCGGTTGTAGATACCGATTGTCTTAAGTTTGCTACTCGCGTGCAATGGCCTTTTTGGTTATCCTGATCCATTGATGTTCTGAAGTCTCTGTTGTGGTAATCACCAGAGGAACTAAATAATGCAAGACGCGTATTCACAGTAGTAGTTTGTAACTCGCCCGATGAATTCCGACGAGCTATTTCTCGACTCTTCATCCTGAAGTAGTGCCGTATTGTCCGAAAGCAAACAGATTGTCATTAGCATAGATTCGAATTCCCAAGTAGCGCACAGAGCATCCGTTCTAATTTTCAGCCATCGTTTCAAGCGGTTTCTCCGGTTTTATGAGTGGAAAACACAATACTTCCTAAAAAAAGTCATTATATTAGTTAGGTTTTGATACTAAGACAATGTGTTTGATATAAATTTACCTTTATGTTCTTGCAGTCCGTCAGAAGCATGGTCAGTCTGTCGATTCCCATTCCCCAACCCGCCGTCGGAGGCATGCCGTATTCTAGAGCCGTGCAGAAGTTTTCGTCAAAAGAATGAGCCGCTCTGTCGCCTTCTGCCTTTAACTATGGAAAATGTTCGTAAATACATGCTGCAGACACGTGCAACAATAATTAAGATAATTGAACTTACTTTAGCTTGCTGTTCGAATCGTTCCCGTTGAATTACGGGATCGTTCAATTCGGTGTAGGCATTTACAATTTCAAATTTTGCAACGAATAACTCGAACCTCTCCACCAGACCGGCAATCGAGCGGTGCCTTGAAAAGAATACGTATTTTGAAAGCAATCGAGTGAAAATTATTATAGATTTTCCAAAATTCAAACACAATACATTAGCTTCGTTAAGATTTAAAATATTGTTAAACAGAGTTTTAATGGATTAATTAATGTTTCTTTCATCTTTAAAGTTTCTTGCTATGCTTTTAAAGCTTTGGTATCGCCCGTTAATGGGATAATTAACGGGCGATACCAAAGCCACATTTCGGCATTCATTAACATCGAAATGCAGCTCCAATACCACACAAAAATGAATATGCGGGACATAAAGGTTCTTCCAATAACCATTATTATGTTAAAGCAACAAAATAAGAAAAGTTAAATATAACTAATGAATTTGGTTACTTACTGCTTTGCTAGAGGACTCGTAATTTCCGGATGATCGCAAAGAAACGTTGGCTGTATCATACTTTTCTCTAGGAAAACTTCAATAAGCTGCACAAATAAAAATAACAAATTTCGATCAATTCTTTAACCAATTTTAGTGGCATTTTAAATTATTTAAATTGTTACTTTATCTAAAAGTCTTGCAGTCGTTCGAGGCTCCGGACAGAAAATTCCGTGTTTGCAGCATAGTTCATAGATATAGGCATTGGCTTCTGAAAATTAACAAAAATTCTCTTGTAAATTCAACCTACAATTTGTAGATTTACTACTAAACAGCTCTGAAACATGAAGATCCGTGGGAGCTACAGAAGGTTATGCCGAGACCATCGTTATCTCAAAACTGGAACACTTATTGTATGATGCCACAATGTCGTCCGAAGCTCCTACTTTAAACCAAAACTTCACCAGATTTAAGTAGGAGCTTTGGACGACATTCGTGATGTCGTACGTCGCGTATTCTGGCCTTGAGTTAACAATGATCACACTTAAGCCATCCCCATCGACACAAAAAGTTAAAATTTATTTGTTAGAGCTTCAAACGTCTTCTATATATTAATAAAAGATTATTTTCCAAATATTTTAAATTTTTGAGTTAGCCCTTTGGATCGTCACTGCTTTAAAAGTAACATTTAACCTAATTTCTTTGTTAGCCGTTTTTATTTTGAAGCTAATACTCATTCTGTAATTCGTAAAATGACAAAAATCTGAAACGTTATGCCACTTAGCTTTGTACCAAATAAATATTTTTACACTTACTTCACATCTGTAATGCCTAAATACGGGGCCAGTTACTCATAAAAAACCTCCCAGAAAGCATTCCCCTAGGGAGATTGCCCAAATGTTGCATTGCCATAACTTAATAAGACAAAACAATTGTAGGTTTAATCAACGAATGAAGATAATCTCAATTCAACGTCACTCTACATCATACCCATTGGAGGCACGATTCAACAAAATCTGTTGAACCTATATGACTGTTAATATAGAAGAGCAATTGCAGATACAACTGGTATATGTTGTTTTCAAGCCCTATAAGTGAGCTTAGGATGGTGTATCTGCATCCCCTGGAGAGTTGGATTGCTTTTTGAAGGCAAAGAGTCCATACAAAGTGGACATTAGATTCAGTATGTTGGGTTTTTCATACAACAGCTGTGAGATTCAATCTCACTTGTGCCTTTTTTTGTCTACTACCTAGGATTTGAGTCATAAATATTTTGATTGATTATCACAGGTTTATCATTTAAGAACATCATCATTATTACATTATCAAAAAATCTGTAATATATACACACACGTTACTTCTTAATTGTCATTGCTTCAGATTCTTCCAAGCAATAGTCCCTAGAGGGACTGAGTGAACTATCATTGTCTCTTTAGAATGATACCATGAGTGATATGACAAGCTGCAACTTTGCAAAATCACCAAAGGAAATACTCACACGAGTAAAGAAATTTTATCTAACGTCGCACCGAATTAGACTGCAAGATTGAATCTTGCATCGGACATTTGTGAAAATGGATTTTAAATGGGAATTACAATTTAGGCAGGCATATTTGATGCCATAGATGCAGCTTGATCTCGAGGCCACCAACAGTTCTTACAGGGCCCAGGAGTAGACTGGGCCCTTTCTTCCCCTTTCGAATATTTGTTTGTGAACAAATAAAATATCTAGAATGTCTCTTTACGACTCCCCTACATTTTCTCCAGCTTCCCTTCCCTCCCGGCAATCCCACTCATTCTTATCTCAAACAATATTTCAAATCTACTAACAAAATTTATATTACCTGGCGTGTTCAGCGTATCCGGTTTTGGTAATTTTGTTCCCAAGATGTTTTCTAATTCTGGAAACACATAGATTCTCTTGAAAGGTGGAGTAAAATCAATTTCAATGGCTTCGTCCGAATCTTTTGAATGGTAACGAATCTTGTATGATCCTTTGATACGCTTGACCATACCTAAGTGCGGAAAAGATTTTGAAATAAAATTCTACAAGTAATATTTACTAGAATTTCACAGAAAAAGTGCACCACTATGATGCATTACTTGGATACAATTGCGTTTGGAGCTGTCGTGTGATACAAATTCAGTCAACGATAATCTCACCGAATGCGTTCGTACAGCTTAATACCCTCAAAACTAAATTACTACACAAATAAGCGGAGATTAAGCGTCAAGAGTGAATGCTTTAACTGATATAGATCTAAACCTACTTTAAACAAAGAACAGTTTCATTAGAAGTTTGTCAAATATATAAACACAAACAATTCCCATACCGGCGTAAAATGGTCCCTCGGTGGCTTTGTTTTTAGAACATACAACAAACAGTAACAAGATTTTCCAATTATGCAATGAATTCCGAACTTTTTATTAGTCAGAATCCTAAGTGAAAACAAGGAATAAGTAGAAACAGATAGGGAGAGATAAAAAAAGAAATTGTGACTGGAAATGAAGGATTGTAGAACTGATGGTTGTCGTGAGAATGACACTGATAACAGGTCTCTGTAAGCTTCATCTTAGAAAATAAAAGATGTGACTTCCTACAATGAAGCATTCCTAAAGGGACATTTTCAAAGGCATTCACTTTGATAGTCAAGGAATAGAATTTGATACTGCCATACCATATCATATATGCCATTTCTTTTTAAAGAAGAAATTGAACCAACCTGATAGCAAATTCTCAGTCATTGTCATCAGATCATTGTAATCCAAGTAAGCTGCATAAAACTCGCAAGTAGTAAATTCTGGACTGTGATTCGAATCCATTCCCTCGTTTCTGAACTGGCGCCCAATTTCGTACACACGTTCCATTCCTCCCACCACCAGCATCTAAAAAAGTATCATTAATACCATCAAACTGCATCATAAGACTACCTCAAACCTTATAAATACTGCACCTTATGATATAGCTCCGGAGCTATTCTTAGAAACAGATCCATATCAATCTCGTTATGGTGTGTAACAAAGGGTTTGGCAGCCGCTCCACCGGGAACCATGTTCATAATGGGCGTTTCCACCTAAAAAACTATTTAATCAATTGAATTTCGACAAAATTTCCTTTCGAAGAACATAAATGGTTTATTTACTTCCAAAAAGTGTTGCTCGTCGAGAAATTTCCGAATGTACTGAATTATCTCGGTTCTAACGACGAAAATCTGTCGAAGGTGACTGTTTATCAAAAGATCCAGGTAGCGTCTTCTGTATCTCGTTTCCTTTATTAAAATAGTGTAATGCATCAGTAGAAAGATTAAAAATAATACATTTAAAAGTGAAATATAGAATTTTTAGTCCAGCTTATGAAATTAACTCACCAAGTCTTTTAATCCAAAATAACTATGCGGTATCATATGTAGACATGGACTCAATAGTTTCATCTCTACAGGTATGATACTCAGTTCGCCCTTCTTGGACCTAGCTAATGTTACAAAAGAACTAATGTAAGAACTAAAAACAAAATTTTATTTTTAAAATTGTAAAGCATGATATGAAAACAATTAACTCCTTTGCTTCTTTAGCATATTTCGCTGTTTAATAGTATTCTATGGAGTCGTTATACATAAGTAGAAGATACCTTATCTTTTCTGAGTTACTTCGTCTTCAACTGGCTCCGCACATTCGATATTCACCAAATACCAAGCAACATGGATGAGTTACTCATGACTGACATTCAATATTTGCCATTTCTCACACCTTATTAGTCTATTGTGCTGAATCAAAGGGGACAAACAGTCAGTTATTCAGCAATTGATGAATACCAAACATGTGGAGTCGGCCATCCACGAAACTAAAACATTTCAGAGGGTGTCCAAAATGTTACTGTGGAGTGAAAAAGATTTAATTTTTACAAAAAATATTGTATTTTTTCTTACAGTAAATGCCAGAAATGTCCCCAGAAGCCCCAAAATCAGGAGGAGTGTGGTCTGGAGAAGTAGCAGGCTGGATTCCATGGCAGATTATGCAATCTACAAAGAAGTTTTCCACACGCGGGAATGTCTGAGCAAGTAGTAATGATGTCTGTCATGAAGTGGAAACACAGGACGTATAACTTATGAGTCTTGTATGCAATACAATACATATCACTTTAATGTCATTACAAATTTCTCACTGCATGGTAACTTTTCGAACACCCTGCATTATGTTATTATGCAGGGACTTTATGCGTGCAGTACAAAGCAGGGATCCTAGTGTAGTATTTCGTCTAGTTCTCGAATGTAAAAAATGCCAGGTGCCCCTTTTTGTATCTGAGAACTAGACAAAACACTACAGTAGGATCCTGAGACCCAAAAAAATCTCTAAATTTTGTTCTGCCAATAGAATTCAGTCAATAGAATGCAATTTGCAATGTTAATAAAGTCTAATTTCACTCACCGGGATATCCTTTACAACCAACAATATCTCCTCTTTTGATCATGTTATTAATTTCAAAGAAATCCATTTTAGGTGAAAAATATCTAAAAATAAATAATGGTCATATAATCTTCTAGAAAAATATTTAAAGTATTAACATACAAAACACTCACTTGACATTGGCCATAATTTGTATCTTTGCACCGTCACCCCAAAGATCATAAAAAATCAGTTTGCTTCCAGATTCCCTTTTCGAGTAAATCCTTCCGGCAACGGCTTGCACGTCACTCTCCACGATTTCTCCGTTCTCTAATGATCCGTACCTTTCTAAGAAATCTGCTAGACGAATGGTTGTCGAAAACTTATGAGGATAAGGCGGCATTTCGGAAGTTTTCATCTGCGTCACCGCCTGAAGTCTTGTTTTAAAATACTCCTAGAAAGCAAGCGTACGAGGAGTATTAAAAGAGGTAATTTTGTACAAAAGCATCAACTTTAAAGAAGAATTAAAACTATCAACGGATAATATTCATAGGCATAAGTTGTTCGAACATATCTATGAATTGTTCTCCTGCTCAGAATTTTAATAATTTGGGAAGTTTATGTAGATAATTAACAGTTGTTTACAAATATACACATCAAATAACCCGATTCTCGATTAATACCAAATGATCTGCTGGATTGTATCGGGCTATATTATGGCTACTTCCAGAACTTTATAAATTAAATATTAAGTTACTAATTTATTTATATTGTTTTTTACTATTGTACTTAATAAAATTAATTATGCTAAACACATTAGATTTGGATTGTCAGTGCATAGCGTTGGCACATATACAGTAATCTCAAGTTTTACATTACAAGAAGTTCGTCTACAACAGGATTAGCAGGCACAGAACTTTATGAAATTAATGTGATGCAAAACCATAAAATTATTNTTTAAATTACAAAACATTAATTTAAATGAGAGAATTTTTAAAGATTTTACATAAAATTTAAACCTGATAGGAAAAATTTTGGTAAGAACATCAAACTTTCTAGAGATTATGGTCTCAGCCCGCTGCTCGGGAGGATCCGGGTTCGAATCCGGGCGATGCAAACGCAAGGGGTATTTCGTGGCCCTTTGAACAAGATATATATGTATAGGCCTATATTACCGGACCGAAATTTTCTGCTAGTCTGACTCCGTTCATGTTTTTCGATATGTCAGACCCGTTTGTGGGTCTGGCTAAACCCACCAGCGGTTAAGGCGGCAGATTACCTGTCTGGAAACCTGGGATCGTATCCGAGCAGTTCGTAAAACTCCCAAAAATTATTCGCAGAGTGGTCCACTTGCATACGCCCCATTCTTCGCCACTCAGCCGCCCCTATTATGAGCCTGTTAGAAAGGCCTTCTTAATGCTCACGGAGCAGGAAGGCTTTAAAAAAGAAGATAATGAGAATGAAATAGTAAAAATAGAATGTTTTCTCAGAATAAATGAGGAAAAAGAATAGAGAAAACGTTACTGTTTTGGGTTTGAGGAGATCAGGCAATACAACACGCCGGCGTTCTGCAAAGTGGGGATGGAACACGGGGAATTTTTACGGAAAAACTGTAGGCTAGTGTAAGGCCGATGAAGACCTTTGATTATTCACGCGGACTCCAGCAGATGGCGTTAGAAATACAATGCTTTTCTATGGGGGAGGACCATTCCAAAAATTCTCGAAAACGAAGGCAGATAGAACCATGTTTAATAAATTCGAAAAATATCAATTTTTTTCGATTTAGGCTAGTGTAAGTGTCGAAGGCAAGTCTTTTTTACACTGAAATTTTCTCATTAAACTAGTTAAAATCGGTAAAATACAAATTAATGTAGGAAAATTAACCTAAAAACAGAAATTTCTGTATGTCTTCGGGAAATTAGTAAAAATTTTGCAGTAAAAAATGACAAAATTAACCCCGAAAATTGGTAAAACAACATAAGAACACGCTCAAGAAGTCCAAAAATCCCTCTCTTATTTAATAATACGATAAAATTGATATAATCGAGTTAACAATTTACTAAAATGTGTCCAAATTACATTATACCACGAAATTGTTATAAAGTCCTTAAAATTCCCTTAAAATTACTATAAAATTTCCGTAAATTCCCTTAAAATTTCTTTAAGTTATAAAAATTCCCTTAAAATTTCTTTAAAACTTCCGAAAATTCCCTTAAAATGACTTTAAAATCTCCGAAAAATCCCTTAAAATTTCTTTAAGTTGTAAAAATTTCCTTAAAATTACTTTAAAACTTCNGGTAACTATATATATTTAAGAATATGTATAACTTCCTGGTAATGCTCTAACGGGGCCGGGACATGTACCAAGTACTTAAATAAAAATGAATGAATGAATGCTCTTGTGGCGTGCAAGTTTGAGCCACATTTCATATGAATTATAGAATTGATGAAATAAGTCAACACTAAATAATTATCTGCCGAGTGCTGAGAAACTGGCTCCTAATTTAGTTGTTACAAACGTGAACCTGGAAAACTCCACGTGGCCAGTCCGTTGACAAATTGTGAATCCATGACAAAACTACCAGTATTATCCAATTACTACAGGCAAATGTGGAAGGGGCAGCAGATCCATGGGTGCTAGTGGTTTAAATCTATCGCATTAACACAAACGAAATTAAAATTTGTTCTTTCCACCCTGTAGATACTAAGAGCCTTTTTGGCAAGCCTATTATGGGATTGGCCAGACCCACAAATCCAAATGGGCCATCTAGATATGTCAGTCCCGGAGAGGGATGGGATACACATTCAGATGGATCACTGTAAAACTTTCTGGTGTTTTGTCTGTCTAGAATGGATCATCGATCCCCCAAAACATGTCTGCCACCTTATTGCTCGGCCATCAATCTTACCATTGTGGGTTTAGCCAATCTACAAGGGTAGCCAGGTGGCAAGGTACAAAATATGGCATATCCAGGATAGATTATCCATGAAGAAATCATTGAGTTTCTAATCTGGATTCAATCTCAGCCCCCTGGAGTGGTATACTGTCTTAACCACATTGGCCATCAGAGAAAATTATTCATTCTTTCAGTTGGAGAATCAAATCTACAACTACAAATCCAACCATTATCCCCTCGGCATTAATCTAAGCAATTTTTCTATTCAGAACGTTAGCTGCACAGAAGAAATAAAACAGTAACAATAAATTAACATAACTTTTATTTCTATAAGTTCTGCCAAAAACCGGAATGAAAAGTACAAAAGATAAAACTCTAGATTATTTATTTCAGAACAGCAAAGACTTATAAATTATATTAAAATGTAACACTAGATAATGGATGTGGCAAAACTTATTACACTTTCTTCAATTTTCTGTGTTGTTTGCTTCGACCGCCTCGCCGGCCGAAACGTCTCTAGGTTTGTTCGGATCTTCGGGTTTCATGGTAGGAAAGAACAGCACTTCCTGAAAGAGAAAATAACGCATTTGGTGTCTCGAACTTATTTTTTTTTACATATTCTCAACGTCTTGTCATACCTTAATATTATTATTGTCGGTCAGAAGCATGGTAAATCTATCGATTCCCATTCCCCAACCACCCGTGGGCGGAAGACCGTATTCGAGAGCGGTGCAGAAGTTTTCGTCTACTAACTGTGCTTCGTCATCACCTGCCGCTTTATCCTGCAAAATGTTTAAAATGTTAAACAATACAGTAAACTTTTTGTTTAAGTTAAAGGTTTGCATACCTTTGCTTGCTGTTCAAATCTCTGTCGCTGAACCACAGGATCGTTTAACTCTGTATAAGCATTGATCACTTCATAATTCATAACAAACAATTCAAATCTTTCGGTTAATCCTTTGATGGATCGATGCCTGAAAGTTAGATTGATGTTAGAACATTGCATCTTAAATTTTAACACAAAATAAGTTTGGAAGTTTGAATGATGCAATGATCAGTTCTTGCAATAGTTTAGAATCTGCAGCAAAAATACAATGACAAAATTTAATAAAGCAATTAAAAAATCTTGTCAATTTTACTAAAGAATTGGGTGGACCCCACTGCTTATGATTTCAGAATCCTATAAAAGAACTTATAATAATACAGTTGTGTAGTGATACCTCTAACAATGAATGTTGGATGAATACATTTTTTGAGGCAGTTACAACAGGCGTAATGTAGTAGGCTGTGGCTGTTGGTACTGATGAACACCCACCGTACACAAGTACACACAAGGATGGCAAAGATTATAATACCCCATTCTCACAGAGTATTTCAATCTATATTGTGACCAAGGTCGGCGACTATGCCTTGGTGCGACCTCTCTCGACCGTTTCAATCTCGACTGAAACAAGGTTCAATCGCGATCGACAATATGTACTGTACAATACGTGATCAAAGAAGTAAAAACTGTACACATCGCATCGACAAGAGGAGAAAAAAGAGGCAATCAGCAAGGAAACAATAAAATCTTTTCATTCAGCATTCATTAATGTATTTTGTTATTACTATATCATCATATTAATGTCATTTTGCAGTCCTCTTAAACCAGACCAGAGTTCCAGTAAAGACAATTACTGCCACTGAATTGGTCAAGTGTGTACTTTCAATTCATTATCAGCTGCTTTTTTTTTTAATTTGTCACAAGCTAGTTCCTTGCAGTAGCTCCAAAAATGTTAACAGCAGTCTCCTTTCAGGCCCACAACTTTGATTGAGTCACAGAACAAACCATTGGCCCATACGATCCTTTTAAAATAGAGATGGCTTTGCCACAATCTAAAAATATGTTTTGAATCCAGGATTCAAATGTAATGAAAGCAACAGAGTTACACATTACTAAACTGCTTATTTATATTACTGAAAAGAATATCTTTTGCAGACATTACTGTTTAAAAGGTGTAGCATTAATTTGTTTCATGTGATAATTTATTGTCAGAATAATTTTAGAAACGGTCAATGTTTCGCCACTTAGTATTTTGGTCGTACACCTCGAGGGCTTTAAAAGATCAGTCATTTCTTTAATTACTTCCATGCTTTAACTCATTCAACATAATTGAGCATAACAGATCATAATCAAATTGGTAGAAACATCGCATCATACATGCCTACTTAATTTACTTAATGAATACTTCTTATTAACAATACCAAATTCTTCAATTCTTAGTATCAAGTCAATATCCAGTTCTGGTTTAATTTAGGCAATCTGCCAAAGAATGATGCCGGGAGGCCTTCCTGAGTGAAACTGGCCCCTATTTGGATGCTAAACACTGAAATAAAACCCAGAAATTTCCATGTGGCCAGCTTGTTAGTTGGGTGGGTGCAAACCCGCAAACAACCACCAGTATCTGGTGGTTTTATCCACTCGGCCACTGGTGGGCATCTGCTGCTCCAAAGAACCTGGATTTGATTTCCAGTCAAAATATTGAAAATTTTCATGCAAACTTTAATTGAAATACATTGGGCCAAATCTCTCGTTCGGCCCGCTGAGTCAAACTATACTGTGATAACATGAAAAAAAAATGCTCGCAAGAAGAAACGAAGAAATCCAGATCCTCAGAAATAAAAATAGAATAAGATTTAGTTGCGGCAAGAACCAAACATTGTAAAATTACTTCAAAATATACATACAGTAAAACTCATACAGTAAAACTCATTCCACAGATATTTAATTAAAGAAAAATAGCTTACCATTTTGAAAGTGGACTCATAACTTCTGGATGATCACACAGAAATGTGGGATTAATCATCTGAGTTTCTAAAAACTCACTCACAAGCTATAAAAGCAATTCTAATTAAAGTTACTTTTTAAAGGTTTTCAATTCTTATTGTACGTTTCTATATTCAACGGTTGACTCAACAGTGAGAAAACGACGTTTCTAAATGGACCGTTGAGACTAGTGACGTCAGCACTGTTTCACTGTTAATTTCAACGGTGAAACGACCTGAAAGATTATTGAGCATTCAACAAACTAACATGGCAGCTTCCATGAAAAAGTAAATTTCGTTCGTAGAAACTATCCATTCGCTCTTGCTGTGGATGCTGTAATAACAGACAGATTAGTGAACGATCTGTGTATGATAAAACATGTGAACGCACGATTATGATGGATAATTTGGTCAATATTAAGCTTTTTTCATAAACAAACTACCTCCACGACCCACAACTTCTCCAAAATTGATTACGACCGACATTTGGCCCTCTTGAAGTCTTCCTAATGATATAAATATTCAAGAAATTCAAATTATTAAAGGAAGACCCAGCATACAAGAAAATGCTACAGATAAGAGTTCATTTGAATAAAAGGATTTATTGGAATAATGGTTAAGCAAGTTACTTTAATTATTTAGCAAAATAGTCACAATCGTTGCCTTCTCCTTAATTAAGTCGGCCATTGTAAAAAGTGTCCTTTCAAAGAAAACATTTCTTTTTTTTTTATAAACTGTGACGTCAGATTGTTCAATGGAGGGACTCAACGGAAAATTCACTGTTGAGTCAACCGCTGAATATAGAAATGTTAAGTTAAATGGGAACTCCCACTTACTTTGTCTAGGAGCCTCGCAGACGTTCTCGGTGGCGGACATTCGACTTCGTGTTTTATACAAAGGCTAGACAAGAACTCGTTACTTTCTGCAATCACGCAAAGCATTATAAACACACAAACATGTATAAATAAATAATCTATTTGAAATTTTAAATACCTGGCGTGGACAATTTGTCGGGATCTGGTAATTTTACTCCTAGAGCCTTTTCTAAATCGGGAAGCATATAAATTCTTTTGAAAGGTGGAGTAAAATCGATTTCTACTTCTTTACCGGACGGTCCCTCGGGATGATACGTTATTTTATAAGAACCTGTGATGCTCTTCACCATGCCTGTCGAAAAATTGAATAAAATTATGGTTCATTTGACAAAATGCATTGATCCTAGTCGTCCATACTTGCCCGAAATTAACGTTTCGGTGATCTGCATCAGGTCATTGTAGTCTGCATAGGCCATATAAAACTCACAAGTGGTAAACTCTGGATTATGGGTCAAATCTATGCCTTCGTTTCTAAACTGTCTTCCAATCTCGTACACGCGATCGATTCCACCGACGACTAGCATCTAACATAGATCAAACACATTAAATATATAAAAAAATATAATTACTTAAGAAAATTGTATATACAGAAGCATACATACCTTATGATACAGTTCAGGAGCTACTCTCATATACAAGTCCATGTCGAGTTCGTTGTGATGAGTGATAAAAGGTTTAGCAGTGGCTCCTCCGGGAATCACATTCATCAAAGGAGTTTCAACCTGAAAATTATATAGAATGTGAAACAGTTGGCAACTTCTGTCCTTATATATCCGCAAACTGACAAATGCATATGCTGTAAAGGTAACCCATCATAGAGAGCAATCTTTGCTCACAATTTGCCACGTGATACTGCTGTTGTCACTTTTAGAGAATGCCAACTTAGTAAAAGACAAGTAACATTAGAGCAACGTTGCCTAATTTGGCAAAATTTTCAGTCAGCTTGCAATTTGGCAACAATGTTTTCTATACTACTATAAATTTATTCAAAGAATAATTGAATTTTTTTCTGGAGTTGGGCCTAGGCAAACCAGACAATTACAACTGCCTAGATCCCAGTTCCAAAAGATACTGGTAAATTGGTTTGTAAATTTTTATTTCTTTATATTCAAATTTAAATAGTTAGTGAACAAAGTGAATATTCTGTAAATCTGTAGTCCGCGGAGCACGGTGCTCCGGAAACCACTTCGAGTGTTCCATGAAAAAATGAAATATACAATTAAAAATTGTTGCATGGGAATGTAATCAGCAAATGCTGATGAAGTCATATACTTGATTACGCTCTTGATTTTAAAAAGTTTGCCATCCCAGCTTTAAAGCTGACGTATTGCGGAAAAAAATGTCAAAGTTCAGCGTTTCCCCTTCAAATAAAATTTGAGAACCATGGCTCTAAACCAACGAGTTTTTGGGCTTTCATTTATTACCAACACCCATAGAAAATGAATGGAAATGAGTATTAGATTGAACTATATCGGCAGAATTCATTATCGTATCATCTCATCTCTAGTATACAGCATATTTTACCTCATCCAAGCCAAAGGGAAGCCAATAAAGGATCAATTTTATTACAAGAAATTAGTTTTATACAAGAGTTCCTATATAAAAGATGATATAAAAACCAGAAAAGTATAATTTGAAACAAGATGAACTTTCTTACCTCTAAAAATCCTAAACTGTCAAAAAATTTTCTGATATAGTTTATGATTTTTGCCCTTGTGATGAAATTTTTACGAACGTAATCGTTCATTATCAGATCGAGATACCGCTGTCGGAATCTTGTCTCTTTATCTTTCAATCCGTAATGTAGGTGAGGAAGCATGTGAAGACAGGGAGTCAATAACTGTATTTCCGTAGGAATAAGGCTCAGTTCGCCCTTCTTGGTTTTACCTGAAATTCGGGAAAATTACTTACTTATATTTTAATTGCGCCCAAACTCTGACTATGCGAAGCTTACCTGGGTGGCCTCGGCATCCGATAATATCGCCCCGTCGCAGTTTGCCATTTATTTTATTGAATTCGTCTTCTGAAGAATAATACCTAAATTATATACAGAAAGATCAGAAATTAATATTAAAAACAGAATTTTAATCGTATTTTATCTACTTACATTGCATTGGCCATAATTTGAAGCTTGGTGCTTTCTCCCCGAAGATCGTAGAATATTAATTTTGTACTGGATTCTCTCTTTGCATGTATTCTTCCTGCGATGCTAACGGTGTCATTTTCTACAACCTCTCCGGTAGCTATGTGCTGATATTTCTCGATAAAATCGGTCAATGATATCGAAACATGGAATTTATGAGGGTAAGGATTCTCTCCCGCAGCTTTCAGTTGCGATACGGCTTGTAGTCTGATCCGATAGTACTCCTGAATTTAAAGAAATGACAGTAATATGTATCGAAACAAAATTTCCTCAATTCATTTTCAAAGAAGCATTGTTTAATCTGAATGAACTAGCCACTGTAGCTACTCTGCCATGTTTTCATATATAATTATCTGTAGTCTATGCTATTTTAAGAACGATTAAAACTGATTTAAAATGGCTGCATGACACGATTCAGTTCGTTCATTGGAACTGTGTCAATTAGCCAACTTTGCACCGCCATGTTTACGCACAAATTGCATCTCGTTATTCTAGTTTTACCGATTTCTATATCTTAATTTATTAACTATCTCATAAATACATTTAAAATGTTACATTGGGATCGATTTCTCCTTCATCTTGACCACCTTCTTTCTTCTTCTTAACGTCCTGATTCTGCTGCGCGGCCTGCTTCAGTTTCTCTTTCTCGGCCTTCTCCTTAGCTTTCTGCTCGGCCTTCAGGCGACGTTTCAGTTCGCTAAAATTTTTGATAGACTGTTTAATCAGAGCATAAACAAAAAATTACAAATTTAAGCTTTAAATATTTCGATTAATTTAGTCATTTCAATGGAGTGACTTATTCAAGCTATTTTTCTCTGTATACATACAAAACATTGAATATTTTACTCACTGACAATCAATAATTGAGTGAACTAAAATTCTAACATTATGCATCAACACTGCTTATAATTAATATAAATTTTAGTCTCTCCATCCTGTGGGTAACTAAAAGTGCATTTTGAGGCCATTGTGGACCTGCCAGAACCCACAATGTGCCCGAAGAGGTGACAAAACATGGGTAAAGTTTTCATCTCGGGTGCCATATGCCACTTCCATATCTCCACTCGGTCGATCAGAATTCTTATTTTCGACTCTGAAGATGGACAAGATGCATCTAAAAGCACTTAGATTATAGAAAATTTTGAAATACTCCAGAAGAAGCAGGTACTTATTGTAATTTCATGTGAAAGTATGGAGTTTAATAATAAAGTTTAAATAAATAGTACAGTTTTAGAAAGCTAAATAGTTAACATTTTATGCAGATAAAGATTATTCCAATTATTCTTTAAGAGACATTTAAATAAATAATTTTACAGACGGTTATAATTTAGCAGACAAGTATCGAATATCGTTTATGTCAACTAATCCATTTATATTAGCTGTTATAAATAAACATTTGCATCAGATTATGCAATCACACACTGAAAACGAAGGCAACATTAATACAGCCAGACACATGAGCAAGTATACAGCTTCTAGCAGACAAAATAAAATTTTGTATTACGTTTGTTTGGCTGGTCGCACTGATCTGTAACAATGTAAATTGTTTAGCATTCAAATCAATTTAATTGTAGTGTCATGTAAGATGTTTTCACGTTGAAGTAAATTCAATTGTTTTTAATAACAAATACCTAATATTAAAAGTTCAAAGTACAAGGTTTTATCACCATATAAATATTAATAAATTCTAAACTGGTTACTAAAAAATAAAACACTTAACTGATAAATCATGGGAGGAAATAGACAGTATTTGCAAGGTAATTGGTAAATGGCATTCTTCATTTTAATTTTCATTGTTTGACAGGCCTTCATTTTATAAATAATAATGAAAAAAACAATGATAACTCCAAATTTTCTATATTAATATAATCATATAAAAATAGAGAGCTTTGCTGCTTCCTGGGCATTGGCATTCTAGACAGAATCTATTGAATGACCCACTAATTACTATAGTCTTGATAATGGGTGCAATACCTAGTAAAGTGACTTTAATAAACAAGATAAGCAAACCAATGACAGTCCATTTCAAATGAAATGAACTAAATCATTGGTTTGCTTATCCTGTTACTAGACAATGTGCCTACTGCCTGTCGTTTACAAATGTCAAGCAATAGGTAGCTAACAAAGTGGTGACATAACCACTTACCTCTAGTCAGATTGCTTTATATCATTTGGTATTAATTAAAAATTAGGATAGTAGATTTATTGTTTATATACAGGGTCAAGATGCTCTGACCCCCAAGAGTCATGCAAGTGAATCAAAATGAAAACTCAAATGTGCACGTTCCGTCCTTCTTTGAAGTTTAGTAATCCTTAATGTCAGCGCACTTTGTTGACAGTAAATCCTAAGTCAAGCCACCAACTATCAAAGATACAGTAATCACTATTGGGTGTTGAGAAATCTTTTTTCAGTAGACTGGCAGGAAAAGGCATACCAAGAGAATCTCTTGACAGGCAAGCCATACTCAAAGCATACTCATAGGAACAAAAGAGTCAAAGGAACCATACGTTTACAAGCGACACTTCACAAGATACAGACCCCGAAATCGGGTCAAGCAAGATCGAGAGTCGCATTGCTCCACCAAGACTACAGCATTTAACTATTTATCTCACTAGACCGTTCATGGAGTACTCGATGTTATACAGTTTTAGGGGGTGTGGGGGCTTGCTTCCACCCAGGTGCCGCAGCACAAGCAATAGTAAGCACCAAAGCGCACGACTATAAGCGGAACGTCGGTCAAGGCGAGTGATAACGAACCCTGACAACGAACAGGCAGTATACCAATACACATTGAAAATCGAACTTCGGAGGCGAATATCTCGCGAAGGGTTACACATACAGGTACGGTTCCGCTTAACTTTTTTGCTCGTTTTGGGACGTACAATTTTTGGGGATGCAAAACCCCTCATTCAGAACTTAAATCTTACCAATTAAAATATAAATTTATGTACCTAAGCAAGAAATATTTTATTTTTTTCCTATTAATAAAGAAATGAATGATTTTGGAGCTAATTAGGACAAAGATTTTGGTTTAAGTTTACATAGATATTATGAAACTTTTAAAACGAGTAAATATTTTAATTTGCAGCCGACATCTCAATAACTTGCAGTCAAAGGACAAGATAAAGTTCTACCTATTTTTTGTTTTTCTTTAGTTATGAATGACAATAATTGTGTGGTGCATATGGATGATGCAATGTTTGGCTTATATAATCAAACACCATGTAAAGTTATGAATAGGCACTTATAAATTATAAAAATATTTAAATTAACAACTTCTAAATGATCTACGTTCGATAATTGTATATTAAATTCATTATACTCACTTCTTGCTTAACTTTTCCCCGGTTTCCGCCATTGTCACTAAAAAATAATCAACCACATGGACTGACGGAAGCGTCCTCTTTCGGATAAAATTCCCTTTATTAAATAATAAACAAATAATTAAATATAAATTAAATCGGAAAGTATTTCGATTATAATTACAAAATATTAAATTACTTAAATAAAAATTTATTTTTACAAATTACTAAAGAAATATTAACTAAAAGAATATATATATATATATATATTTAATATAATAAAAATGTCTAAATAAATGTTGCCCTCTATCGTCAATAGTAAAAATTAATTAGAACATCTTTTGAATTGGTAAATATGTTAATTTTTTTTTTCGTTTTAAATTACAAAACATTAATTTAAATGAGAGAATTTTTAAAGATTTTACATAAAATTTAAACCTGATAGGAAAAATTTTGGTAAGAACATCAAACTTTCTAGAGATTATGGTCTCAGCCCGCTGCTCGGGAGGATCCGGGTTCGAATCCGGGCGATGCAAACGCAAGGGGTATTTCGTGGCCCTTTGAACAAGATATATATGTATAGGCCTATATTACCGGACCGAAATTTTCTGCTAGTCTGACTCCGTTCATGTTTTTCGATATGTCAGACCCGTTTGTGGGTCTGGCTAAACCCACCAGCGGTTAAGGCGGCAGATTACCTGTCTGGAAACCTGGGATCGTATCCGAGCAGTTCGTAAAACTCCCAAAAATTATTCGCAGAGTGGTCCACTTGCATACGCCCCATTCTTCGCCACTCAGCCGCCCCTATTATGAGCCTGTTAGAAAGGCCTTCTTAATGCTCACGGAGCAGGAAGGCTTTAAAAAAGAAGATAATGAGAATGAAATAGTAAAAATAGAATGTTTTCTCAGAATAAATGAGGAAAAAGAATAGAGAAAACGTTACTGTTTTGGGTTTGAGGAGATCAGGCAATACAACACGCCGGCGTTCTGCAAAGTGGGGATGGAACACGGGGAATTTTTACGGAAAAACTGTAGGCTAGTGTAAGGCCGATGAAGACCTTTGATTATTCACGCGGACTCCAGCAGATGGCGTTAGAAATACAATGCTTTTCTATGGGGGAGGACCATTCCAAAAATTCTCGAAAACGAAGGCAGATAGAACCATGTTTAATAAATTCGAAAAATATCAATTTTTTTCGATTTAGGCTAGTGTAAGTGTCGAAGGCAAGTCTTTTTTACACTGAAATTTTCTCATTAAACTAGTTAAAATCGGTAAAATACAAATTAATGTAGGAAAATTAACCTAAAAACAGAAATTTCTGTATGTCTTCGGGAAATTAGTAAAAATTTTGCAGTAAAAAATGACAAAATTAACCCCGAAAATTGGTAAAACAACATAAGAACACGCTCAAGAAGTCCAAAAATCCCTCTCTTATTTAATAATACGATAAAATTGATATAATCGAGTTAACAATTTACTAAAATATGTCCAAATTACATTATACCACGAAATTGTTATAAAGTCCTTAAAATTCCCTTAAAATTACTATAAAATTTCCGTAAATTCCCTTAAAATTTCTTTAAGTTATAAAAATTTCCTTAAAATTTCTTTAAAACTTCCGAAAATTCCCTTAAAATGACTTTAAAATCTCCGAAAAATCCCTTAAAATTTCTTTAAGTTGTAAAAATTTCCTTAAAATTACTTTAAAACTTCCGAAAATTTCCTTAAAATGACTTCCCTTAAAATTCCGTTGAAAATTGAAAATTCCTTTAAAATCTCCGAAAAATCCCTTAAAATTACTTAAAAAGTTCCCTTAATTCCGAAAAATGCAATTTTTAATTTTAGATTAAATTTTCGGGTTCCTAATATAGAAAACCTCCCCACAATATTATATTTTAGTACTAATACATTATTAAAGTCAGTTGCCTCGCCATGAAATCTATATTGACTTAATGCCGTAGGGCTATTGTCACGCTAATTACTACCTATTTTGCGCAATTATCCATAAAATACACTTTAGGGAATTTATATACTAAAAAAAAGACCAGTAATTTAAGGCTTTTAGAGTTGAAGTAAATATCTTAAGTTTAATACCGCAGGCAAACCTTTTAAGATACGCTTCACTCATTAAACTACTGTATAAAGTAATTGATGTGTTACGCTAGATTAACGTCACACAAAAAATTCTATATAATATATTTTCTATAAAATTCTATTTTCTATGATTCTTTCTAATTTATACGGTTTCCTTTATAAAATTTTTAAGGATTTTTAACGCCAGGTTAATCAAATTTTGGGAGGCGCGCTGGGGATATTTCGTGGAAAGGTTCTATTGTTGCTATGACAATAAAGCAAACACTGGTACATAAATAATAACAGCCCTAAGGCAGCGCAGTAGTCTTTTCCTCTAATTGTGTGTGGAAAGGCACCTAATTTAGTAGTGGTTCCTCTCCCCTCTGTTCGTTAATCCCATAGAAGTTGGGGGTTTACCCTCTGAGGGGATATTAGCCATATGTTTTTATTATTAATATATTCTATGTATTTCTAGAGGAGAGATGGATTTCGGAGCTTCGTTGTTAAAATTAAGGGACCTTTTGAACCTGGAAGAAACGGACAGTAGCGATGACGAGTTCAAACCTAAAACTCAAGTGACTAAAATGGGACCCGGAGACATCGGTGGGAGGGCAGTTAGCGGAAAGGAAAAGACTGAAGAAGTCGGGGTGGAGGACGATGACGTCATCTGGAGCGCGCGTGAAGTTCCCCAGGGATCGGAATTCGACGATACTATCGATCCTAGGAAAGAGCCCGAGTACGAGATGTTCTTCAGGCAGAAAGTGACTACAGAAGATATCTATCTACAAGTAAGGTCTCTTCTATTATTCTCGAGGGGTGCGACTCGAGTCAGAATGGCCCTCTGTCAAAGTCTGAATGAGGAAGAAACCGGAAGCGGATTTAGGTCGCTTCACCTTAAACGATGGGCGCGTGGCCGGAAAACATTTCTAGGAAAACTAAATAATGGACTAAGAGCCCGAAACCACTTAACACAATAGCAAATTGGAGGGTGAATTACGAAATGAAGCCTATTTCCTTCCATTCTTATAACAAGGATCGTACTTGTTAGTATAATATGTTTTTTTTTTTTTTTATTCTACCAACATAGCACACAAAATATTCACTCCACATTCTTTTTATCAATTCGGTTCGGTAGCAACGACGTTAGAGAATTATCCTATCAATTCGCCATGTTTGAAGTGGGGGAAATCGGGATCTAAACAGCTAATAGTAGCGGCTCCTTTTGATGTTTCGGCCACTCCTGCGTGTACGAGAGGAAATTTTTAAAGCAGAAACCGCTCCTACATGTTATCAGGAGGCACACGCAGCGAGGCGAAGCGGGGTAGAAAAACAACCTTGACACTCATTGAACTGTGACAATATCAAAAGCCGGTTCCCTCTCGACTACTCGGTTCTTCGTTTTTATTATTATATCGTCTCGTTCTGGACGAGTGCATTCGAGTAGATTTCTGGCATTCTCGGAGGAGCCTTTTAACTCGAAATCGCTTTTCCCCCCTTGTCGTAGCACGGGTAACGGGCCACTTACGAGTATAAATGTTGCAGATGGGTAACAAGAACCCAGCCACTTTCAGCTGCGAGGATCTGGTGATCAAGATCAAGCTACCGGGGGAGGAGCCTTTTAACTCGAAATCGCTTTTCCCCCCTTGTCGTAGCACGGGTAACGGGCCACTTACGAGTGTAAATGTTGCAGATGGGTAACAAGAACCCAGCCACTTTCAGCTGCGAGGATCTGGTGATCAAGATCAAGCTACCGGGTGTAACGACGCAGAATGAAATCCACCTGGACGTCAAGGAGAAGAGATTGGATTGCAGGACCTCCACTTATCGTCTGGGTCTCTTCTTACCTCATCCGGTCAAACCAGACTCGAGTAAAGCCGAGTGGGACCAAAATTCCCATAACCTAACCATAATACTGAGATTGGACAGAGAACTCGATGAATTGAACTTCTAATAGGCCCCCTAGTACGTGTTTCAACGGGGGGTTGAACACCGAGCTAATTGCTCGGGAATTGTTACTTACCTAGTCAACAACGAGGCTTTTAAGGATTTCTGGAAAGGTGGATTCTTAGAAATCCTCCTATTTTAAGGAGGTCTTTAAGAAAGCCGGCAACACTTAATTTTTAATGCGTTTGACGTCATTACTTTTAAATCAATTACGATTTAATGCGTTTGTTTAGTGAGTAATTTTCGTATTTTACTTGTAACGCTCGCACAATAAGATTTTAAAATGGGAAATCCGTTAATAGAAAGCGGAATATTTATATTTAAAGGCGATAAAACATTATATACCGGTATATATATATATATATATTTTAAATTAAAAAGAATTCTATGTAAAAACCTCCTACTGTACATCTGTCGTTGGATAAGGAGGTAATATTTATGATGACGTCACAATGTTTCCACGTATGTGAAGTTTTCCGTTTCTTCCTGTCACGAAAATTGGTCTTATAGCTGTTTAAATTGCTTATTTTAACAAGTGTTCGTGATGTAACGCACGCAGTGACGTGTTTTCGGGCAGGAAATTTAACCAAAAAAAAAAAAGGCAAATTATATAATGTTACAAACACAGTAAAAATGTAAAAAAAATGTAACTATTCCCGCAATTCGAGCGTTATAAATGTAAAATAAAAGTATAAGATAATTAAAAAAACTGGCAACACTTAACATTTAATGAGAATGATGTCACGAACTTCGGCTTCGAACATTGGTTAATTCAAAATTTTAAATATTTTGAATTATGATATGGAAAAAAATGGCTGAGAAAGTATTTTAGGCAGGAAATTTAGCACATAAAGAGAAAATAATAGAGTAATATATCAATAATAAAAAGTTTCCTATAGAGATTCACGCTTGGCGTATTTGGTGGGGGAGGAGGAAAAAAAAAACAATCGGAAATTGTGTGATCGATTATTTTGATTGCTTCCACCTTTTAGGTGTTGTAGTTAATTGAATTTATTGATCAAGAAACGAGAAATTTGCCTCTTCATTACTCAATTCTCTTAGGTATAACCAACGCTTAGGTCATTAACACACAAGTATCATTTTAAGCTACTGGTTCCTCTAATTATCCTTTCTTCTATGGTTACTTGTGTTATTGACTCGTTTGCCAACAGTTCTATATACAACTTTCCGTTTCTTGTTCTTTTGATACCGTCTAATAACTTTCTGGTGTCGTTTCTATTTATGTTCCTTCTTGTTTCTTACTTGTTTACGCAGTTCGCTTCGTAATGCTGATAGTAATACTGTTATTGATTCCTTCTTTTATTTATTGTGTACAGAAAAAATGTACACATTTTTATACAAAATTTTTTTGTGTGTACACGCTTCTAAAAAGCCAAGTATCAGGTATCAATTTTTGTGTTTCTTGTAACGCGGCGATACCAGTTTTAGCTCAGTCACGTGATGTTTTTTTTCTCGTGTATATCAATTTTAATACAGGTTTTATTCGATCATTACCATTTATATTTAATTCAGTCAGAGATATCTTACAGTTTAACTTAATTTTTGGTATCGCATTCCTTCCGATTTATATTATTAAACAAGCCTCCTGTTGTCACTTTCCACGTGTTACTTTGTAAGTTTTAACGAAATTTCGATCGATCGTTCTCCCCCTTAACTCAATTTCTACTTTGTATTCTGTCTTCGTTCATCAATTTCCGATGTCATTCCTAGTTACGGTGGTACAGTACACTTCTTAAATTCTTGAACACACGGCGAGGGGGGGAAAACAGGAATAGTTACATTCGACAAACGAGGCTGTCGTTATGTTAAAAAAGCTGGCAAATATATATATATATATATGACACGAGACCGTGTTAAACGAAAAAAATAAAAAAAAAAACAGACAAAAATCTACCATAAATCTAACAAAATCTACACGAAAATATTCTGTACCAGGAGCAAAATCTGTATAAATAAAGTGCAAAGCAGTGTACTGTAAAGTACAGTCGACCCCCCTATAACACTGTTGATTATTCTGTTTTATATGAATTCCATGTTGTACGAGTCATTTAGATTTTACAAATACGCGTGCCAGGCTGTAAATGGCTGACGTATTTGTAAAATTTAAGTGACTCGTACAACATGGAATTCATATAAAACAGAATAGTCAACAGTGTTATGAGGGGGGTCGACTGTATAGGCCTAATTAAAACACAAATTTACCGTAAAAAGCTGATAAAAATGTGAAATACAAAGGATTAAATGGTACAAAAATCTATTATAGAAAAGAAAATCCGCCACAAAAGGTATAAACCTAACAAAAAAAAAAAAACAAATCTACAACACGACAAAAATCTATCACCAGGGGCCATAAGAAAATAGTGTAACCTTCAAAAGCTGGAGAAAATTAATTTCCTCCCCCTTCCTCTCTTTAATCTCGGCTAAACTATGAAACAACTGACACCATTATAGTCGAGAGGTTCATTGGAACGGCTCCAGTTGCGCTCCGAAGCAACAGGATGTGAGCGGATATCAAAGGATACCGCTCACCTAACACAACTTTGAACAACACGCCAATACTGCTTCTACCCCCGAACGTGCAGCTGTTGTCAGCTGTCGCACCGTTCATAACGTCTCTTCAAAGTGTACCGTATTGTTACTTCGCAGAAAGCGTAAATACCTTCGAAACACACTCTCTATCACCCCCACCTCTCGAGCTCTTCTTGGACCCTTCCTTCTAGGGATTGGTCAACTGAATGAAAAGCTGCACTTCACGTTTTTCGGGCATAATTCGCTAGTAGTAGAGAGAGTTGTAGTGCGGTTTTATATTGCTGTGTGTGTGTATGTGTGTATGTTTGTCTGTCCTTTGATCGATTACTGGGATGCTACTAACAATAACGAGAAATGGGAAAAGTACAGAGCAAGCAAGGTAAGTTAATCCCGACGCCCATGTGTTTATTTATGTTATTTTTTTTAAAAAAAACGGGAGAATTTTCGTATTTAATCACATCCATCTCCTAAAATTCTAGGAGAATGTTACGTCTTCGACGCCCATCTTAACCCGGTCGAACATACGGACGAAAGCAGAAAGTTACAAAAGATGCCATTGACATCGTCGACCGCTTCGAAATTCTGTTCCGTAAGTAGATACTTCGCTTGACATTTTCCTAGAAAAACTGAATATAACTCGACCCCCGGCTGTATAAAAAGTACCCATTTTTGTTTTAAATCTTCTTTTCTTCTTTATACTTCACGAATCCAACGAAACAAAACTTATTAAAAAAAAAATTAAAAAAAAAAAGTTATTAAAAACTGGCAACATTGTTAACGTATAAAAATTTAAATTTAAATTTTTATGACGTTTGCAATTTTAAAAAAAATTCCTAGTGTTGCCAGTTTAAAAAATATTTAAAAAAAAAAAATGGAGAGTTAAACCCACCGCGTATTATTAGGTTTAGAGCTTTTGTACAAATAAACACACGTTATCAATGAACGGAGACGGGAACCATTAGAGAATTTACAAAGTTTTATCACTCAAGAAAGTATTTTATATTTATATATATATAAACTTCGAACCGCGACATTTTATCTGGTTACACTCCAAAACAGATCTACCTTATCGGAGAGTAGGAAGAAGAGAGATAACGTGTCGATTACTGTACATTTAGTGGAGGCAAAAAAATATATATATATATTTATACATAAATATTCTAGTTTTAGTATCTCGTTACGCGTCATGCCAAGCGAATTTTTCGGTCGTGGGCAAATGACCCCCGCTCTTGCCACTTGCCGGTGGCTACAAAGACTAGAGAAAACTCGGTGCGCGGCAGCTGGCCTCAGACGAGCGGCAACATCAAAGTTACATTCTGCTGGCGCCACTATTGGCTGTCGGCCATAAAACTGCCATTTCCTCTCGTACACATACAACGCGTATTGACTTAGTAACGTTGGACAAGCGTCGCTCCTTTTGTTGATATGAACTTTCAATAATTTTGAAATGATTCTACTTGCTTATTTTTAGTTACCTAAATACGTTCGGTTTTCATTGCGTGCTAGGGAATTGGGCGGAATTTTTATTTTTTTCGTAAATTAAAAAAAAATACTGTATATATAAAAATATATATATACTTTTTTTTTTATCTTGATGATTTCCCTCGCTACGTGTCGCTTTTTTACGACAGGAAACGGTTGTAATCGTGCGATTTCCTATTGTTTCTCGCGTGTTGCGAGCGGTGCGATGCGACGCGTAGTTAGCGATTGTTGCGTCGCGTCTAGATGCACGTCAAAATTTGCCATTAATACGCGATAATCGCGCGTTTTCGACTGTCGCGATTTCGCCCTCGTCGGTTTTCACTCTTCGCTTTTAACGTAAAACATGAATTTAGAAGCGAATCGCTTGATTTATTAAAATCGCGTTTGATTGTAACCAGTTGTCGCATTAAAATCGCATCGGTCGCTAGCGATTTCCTCTAAAATCGCGCTTAATTGTAACCAGTTGTCGCATTAAAATCGCAACGTCGCTAGCGATTTCGATTATACAGCTTTTAAAATCGCGTTCCTCTCTAGAAAACTTTCTTTCTCTCTTATTTCATTTCAAGGCCTTTATCAGAGAAAAAAAATTTAAACGACGCTTACGATTTCACAGGCGTCACGCCCTAAAATCGCATCCATCTCTCACAGACCTCGCTGGCGTGGCGCGCTTAAAATCGCATCCTTTCCTAGCGATTTCTTTTCACTCACCACTTTTTTCTTTTTTGTTTTTTCTAATCTTCCTCCTCCTCTTTTTTTAGGTCGCGACGTCGGCGCGCGCGTCCGATCGTCGCGGGTCGCGGATAATTTAGGGCATTGCAAAATTCCGCGTAGGGAGGAGCCGGTATCGTGTTCGGGCATCTCTCTGGCGGTTTACAGCATTTCTTTGCCTTTCCGGCATCGAATTTCTGTTGCGGGAAAAAGAGGATGAGGAAATTGTGGTCCCTTGACCTCAAGCCAAGTAAAACAGAGATGGTATTGTACGCCCCTTTGGCTCTGACTCTGGTATTTATGTCCATTAATGCACCCGATCTCCCCCCCGTCACCATAACAACATCCAGTCTATATTTGTACTTGGTCAACCGATCGCCGCTCGTGACGCCAAGGAGTTACTCCTCTCGTACGTCACTTCTCGGAATTCCTTACAGAATGGATCGTATTACGCGCGACGTATTGCGTATTCGCGGCAGTTAAAGGTTTCGATGTGCGTCACTAAGCTAACGAAGTATTTCTTACCCCCCCCTACTACGTGACGACACGAACGGAAGGACAGGTGCAAACACGTTTATTGGTATGCATTACAAATATGCCAGACAATTCGTGGAAGCTTCTAGGAATCCATCGGTTACTGAAGATTCCTACTGCTGATTGGCGTTGTTAACAATACCACTCTGGGTTATGGGGGAACTTCTACCTCCGTCCCCCAAGTAGTAATTTGAAATAAGATCTTAGAGTGCCGCCGAATACTATTCCCAGTTTTTATGCCGTTATTAAGCATTCGAGTCTGCCCGTCTGTTCGTTAAAATATCCGGATTAAGCCACATGGGTGGTTTGTGGCGAGTGATAAAGCAGAGCGGTGGTGCGGATGCAGTTGCAATATTGTTTCTACAAACAGGACTGTCTTCAGTGGAGTTGGAGTTATGCTCGAGCTACATTTTTAAGGCCTCGAGCATTTAAATTTTATTTGGCAAGGGAGGAAGGCCTCCCGTTTGTTTTGACCAAGGGCTCGTACGAATCTAAATCCTGCTTGAATTGACAAAATAATACAAGATTAAATTAGAAGACCATTGCAGAAATAGAGGCGGGCCCCAATGGTTTATGTACCTTACGCTTGAGGTATACCGGTGTGCCTCGTTGTAGAAAATGGATATCTGAAGAGAATCTGCAGTTAATTTTATGCAAAATTTGAACCACTAATAAATGTTCAAAGGCATACTTCTAATGTATTTACACCTAATTAGATTGAGGTTCTATAATTTTAATTAAGATTTTTAATCTATTTTTTTCCAATTAACCTTAGAAGTCAAAGGCCAAATAGCCAAGCGGTTACGGCTACAGCCTACCGCTCCAGAAACTCTCAATTGGATCGGGATGGGTCTCCAGATATGTTCGGATACTTGTGACCCCGGTCTCTTGTCACCCGGCAATCCTGTTGTGGGCCTGGCCAAACCCATAATTGGCTCGCTAAAAGAAGGCCCTCTTAGTGACCATATGGTGGAAAGATTTTTTTAAAATCCTTAGAAGGCTGCTTCTAAAAGAAATATTTTAATGCAAATACAAAGGGCAATTGTTATTTTGCCGACGGATATAAATCAAGTATTCCGTATTCATATTAAACTACTCTATAATTATTTACATATGCCATTATAAAATTTACAACCTTATTATTATTTATCATCCACTACATTAAACAGTCCGAAATGGAGTCTAAGATGAGATAAACCAGTGACTCCCGAGCATCTTGTTGGAAAAAAGATGAATTATTCTTTTGCAAACCGAGGCATGATGAGGTGGTGTTGAATGTCGGGCTTTACGACAAACAATTTTCTGATCCTTGCAAGAGAATTTAAACAAATTTACCGAGAGGAAATTCTAGTGAATATTCTCTTGTGTATTAACTGATACATGAGCTATCAAGGATGGTTTTAAGTCTGCACTATGTCATAAAAATCAGATTACAAGTAGACCCCCCTATAACACTATAGATAATTCCGTGTTATATGAATTCCATGTTGTACGAGTCACTTAGATTTTACAAATACGTGATCCGTTCCCAGCCCGGCACACGTTCTAAGTGACTCGTACAACATGGAATTCATATAACACGAATTATCAACCGTGTTATAGGAGGGTCTACTGTATTTAATATTACGTCTTCTATATTTAATATATTACAATAATTTTATCATCTTCCTAGTCTCTATTTTGACTAGCTACGTGTCCCGTCTTTGATAAAAATTAATAAATAAAATAATTTTTCTTTTATTTAAGGAATTATCTTTGTCGTTATGCCATGTGGATGAGTGCAAATCGCCAGACAAACATCCCCTGAAAGGTAAATATTAACAATATTTTAATTGTTAAATCACTTGTAATTACTTATTTTTTTTTAAGTTGTTTGCAGAATTCTTGCAGGATTGCAAAGAATTCTGCAATTAATTGAATGCTTATAAGAAAAACTGTTGGATCATATTGCATTTTAGGCATATTTGCAATATATGTAGGTCATTCGACTTTTAAAAAAAAAAAGAAATGGAATGGCTGGCTGAATTAATTCATTCTTTCTGTGCAGACATACACGCCGCTTTGTGTTACGATCCTAGAGAAACGGGCAAGAAACAAACTGTTTATTTACGCATTAATTTCAGTGCGAAGCAAAGAGGACAATGTATCTTTGAGATTTAATTATTCTGCCAAATTAAATTATGGAGTAGATATAGCTACTTTTATTTGGTAAAACATGATTACTTCAAAGTCTTTTCAGTTATCTTGCAAGTATGTTTTGTTTAACAATTGATAAGCTTTTCAAAACATGCCGAACTACAACACTTAGCATTATCAAGCTACGGGGGTACAAATGGTTTCCATCAATCTCGCCTTTACCTTTTGATAAGATGTTTGGACCTTATCTAACGAAGGTAAAGACTTGCAAAACTAAAAACTAAATACGAGGATGATAAAATATTTCTAACAATATAATTTTATGTAAGCTATGAGTAAAATTAATTGTGTAATTGACCCTATGCTAGACATAATTACAGAATTGATATCATAATGTATATAAAAATTAATACAGTCGACCCCCTATAACACTGTTGATAATTCCGTTTTATATGAATTCCATGTTGTGCGAGTCACTTAGATTTTACAAATACACGAGCCATTCACAGCCTGGCACACGTATATGTAAAATCTAAGTGACTCGTACAACATGGAATTCATATAAAACGGAATTATCAACAGTGTTATAGGGGGTCGACTGTATTTGCCCATTAAGATTGAGGCAAGCTTATAATTAACTATTATTTTAATACTTAAATACTGTAATATTACAGTGTGACTATTTTGACTTTATCCTATCTCTGTAAAACCTTACTAATATATTACTATTCAGGTAGACTGCTGCAAGTTCTCAAAATAGTGTTTATGAATTGTTTAGTATATCTTCCGCCGAAGGATTGTTCCGAGCACGGAGACGGCGAGGAAAACCAACTGGAGAAGGCAGAAGAAGAAAAAAGCGAAAAGGAAGAGCGAAGAAATAATTTAAAAGTATGTTTCAAAATGTTATTCTGTTTATAAACATCACATTTTAAGTTTGAAATGCTAAAAGTTTGTACGATTCGGAAGTCATTTATTCTTACTATAACGTAGTGGTATATCCCTAAAGGGTGGTGGCGGAGAAAAAAGAGGGTTTCCTGTGTATGACATCCGGCAAGCTTCCGTACTCTGAGGAGCATCATATAAGCAGGGCATAACATATCAGAAACACACCCACTTTTTTCACCCTGGGATCTGCTGAAATCACACGTACTTCTTTCGCTTCTTCCATATTTATGATTTTTTTCACACACTCTTGGCACCTTTTTTTCACTGAGAATCTATTACTCTTTTGGACACTTCCTCTTGCTCAGCCCATCTTTTCCTCAGTCTTTCATGTTCTCTGCTTCCCTCCACACTTCCCACATAGAACTTCTTACACACTATCTTTCAATATTTTCTTCACATGACCAAACCAATGCAGAAACCCTTGACACATTGTACAAACGCAGCTCTGAATGAGGCAGTTGGACCTTATCAGAGCTATAGAGGCAAAATCATGCCTGTAGGAGCAAAAATGTCAAAGGAACCAATGATTTACGTGTGACCCTTCACAAGATATAACAGTGTAGTATATAGATATAACCCAGAAGTAGTTGGTACAATGGTGTTTCTCTTGTTTTATGAGCTTCTACCCATCTCTAGCAAAGTGGAAAATGGTTGATTTAGCATTGATTTGAGAAATATTCCAGATTTTTTCAACTTTAAAACTTTTACTCCATTTTTGAGTGTCTTCAAAATTCCAGATAGGTTGATTTCTGGAGGGTTATATATAGTCAAGCAGGTAGACCGTTGGTTCTTTTGATTCTTTCGCTTCAATGGTCGTGGTCTACAGCTTTGATAAGGATTAGCAGATTGGAAAAAATGTGTGACATATTTCTAGCTTCTAATGAGTTAGTAGAATAAACTTGGTTTATATTAAATACTGTATTTATAATTTTACTTTATTTATAGGGTATCCAAACTGAAAATTCAGAATTCACTTTCACCTTATATGATTTCAATGGCTCTGGAAAAGTGTCAAAAGATGTAAGTATTTGAAATGAATCATTCCAAATGGTGTCTTATCTTCTTTTAAATGTAAAGAACTATCTTTAAAGTTCTTATTATATGAAACATAAAATAAACTAGTAAACAGAACCTTAAAACCTTTCAGCAAACTATCACAATTAAAGAATAAATACATTTTAATCAAGCAAATCTTTTTATTCTAGGATGTAGAAAGAGTCGTAGGAAGGACAATAAGTGAAGCTCTGGAGAAATCTCTGAACTTTTCGGCGACTAATCACACCATTCAAGTTCATCTTGCGATAACTCCGGAAAGTGAATCGAAGCATAAATTGAAAAGCGATCAAATAGAAAGAGAAGGGACAAACTCGAGTAAAGAGAAAGTATCTCTCAAACACTACTGTGATGCCAATGCGACGCATCCTCCATTTACTCCGGGAAAGTCTAACAGAAAAAAATATTACAACCAGTTCGAAAAGAAGGTTTCCGACCTACCGCAACAGTCGCGTAGTCCACGCATGCAGAATCAGAAATCCCGCCGTAAACTTTCGCTTGCTGATGACAGGTGAGAAAATCATTAATATAGATATAAATACAAAGATTCCATTATTTTAAAATAAACTATAAAGATCTGCAAGTTTTGTATATACAGTGACTACAAAGTCTTTACATGTGCTAGTCGGAAGTATTTGTATGGTCCATTCCCAGGATGTAATTTCATGCATAGGAACTTTGCATGCACACTTTTATGGTACAGAAAAGCACAGGGTGTACCCCTCAAATGTCCCTAGTTTTGTAGATTAATTTTAGTACTGAAGATAATGGTAGTAGAAAGTGCATCCAAGAGTTAGTTATTAAATTAAATCAGTACATTTCCTCATATGCTCCTGACATTGCAAGCTGCATACATTCTAATGTAGCCAGCATAGTAAGAGTCGTGCTGTTAATGGTGTCTGCAATTCTTATACATAGGGCTCTTGTATACGGCACTTTTGTAGCATACGCATAATCCTTGATGTGCCCACAAAGGAAATAGTTCAAAGATATGAGTTCAGATGATTGGGCAGACAAGAAATTAGCCTGGCGAGCTAGACCGTGTGTAGCAGTGGAGATCCGGATTGGCACCATTTGGAAGCAGCAACCTTTTACTGTGGAAAATTTTTAAGCATTTAAATTGGGAGAAAATTACTTCACAGTTTTCACAACCTAAAACTTATGCATGACATTCACTTCTTTTTTAGCTTTATTATTCTATAAAACATGTGATCATCAATGACTATTCTCCACAATAGTGAGATTTGGTTATGTTTTATGGCAAATAACTTTCTTATTGCGAATTCTCCCTCTTTATCTGGAGTCGTGACTAGTTAGACATGGATGGGTAAACAGCAGCACCTGGTATTCTGTGCTGTCTCCGACCAGAATACTGTCGGGGTCCTGTACTGCTTAACATAGATTCGAGAACTAGAAGAGCAAGAAGTATTGCTTATGGTTGTTGCCTTTATTAGGGCTGATGTTTATGCACAATAATAATATAACTTTATGATAAAAACCTTAAAACAAGACATAAATTAAGTACTGTAATATTTTTATAATAACTTTAAAAACAAGGCTGATTGTTAGTTTTAACAAAACCAGGTCTTTTTGACTAATTAGAATAATGAAAATAATTTAATAAAACTAAGTTTACTGATAGTCTGTTATTAAAATACAATATAATGATCAATAGAACTAATTAATCAAAGTTATTTTAACGTTTTCAGATATCCCACAAATATAAATGAAACAGTCTTGCCAGAGAAGAGCCACAAGAACCGGCATTATTCTTCCACTTGCAGAAATATTCCGGAATGTCTCAATCACCGCAGTCACTATCTCGATCTGGCTGGAATCGAAAACTACACTTCAAAGTTTGCAACTTATACTACTAATGCGTGTCTATCGGTACATGAGTGCCCCGGAGAAAGCTTTCAGAGGACTAACTTGTCTCGCTGTCATAAAGAAAGAGAGAGAAAAATGCATCATCGAAGGAAAAGTTACAGCAAGGAAACGCATCCATTCAATGTAGATGCATCGCCACACTTATTCAGACAAAATAAAGACCATAGATGTGATCTGTTAGAAACAAACTTCGATTTGTCCGACGAAGCAAAGGAAAAGTTCAACTGGGAACACCCCAGACGATCAAAATCGCACGACGTGCACAAAAATAACGAATATTTAAGGCATAATTCTCCGAAACCTAAGTGCCAGAATAGTGCGGAGAGTGTTTCTCCAAACCACTATTGCTGCCGCAAACATAAAGAACAGGAGAAAGAATCTCAGTGGAACAAACTGAGAAAGCATTTAGAGAAGGACTTCAATACCAAGTGTCGTAAAGAAAATCTTAAATTTATAGCCCTGCAAGAGAAAGATAAATGTGAGCATCATCATGTACATGAACACATTCATCATCATTATCATCATTATGTGGATTCGTAACGTGAATTATTTACAAGTGATGTTTTTAAGTACATCTAATTTATACAATTTAGTGACTGTGACTCAAAATATTTTGAAAGTTTATCAGAAAATTTGAGAAAATGGGATCGTAAGTGGCATTACAGTTAGTGATTATATATATTATTAAACGGCGTACTTAAAAAATAATTAAATTGTAACATTACAATCGAATACAGTCGACACCCCATAACACTGTTGATTTTTCCATTTTATACGAATTCCGTGTTGTACGAGTCACTTGGATTTTACAAATATGTGAGCAGTTCACAACCCGGCACACGTATCTGTAAAATCTAAGTGACTCGTACAACATGGAATTCATATAAAATGGAAAAATCAACAGTGTTATAGGGGGGTCGACTGTAATTTACACATTTCTGAAAGACTTAAGTCCTATTTGCATCTCAAACAACAAATATTATCTTTATTATTGCCGATAATATAAATAAAAATTTAACTTTTACAATTTATACACTTTAATTAAGTAGAATGACTCAGGTTTCTGCATTTATCACAGGCCGAGCATTCCTAAAACATTTAGATATAGCAATGCTTTTTGCACATAAAACAGAATGGTACAAATATTTATAAATGCTTTTTTCAATGCTCCATTGTTTGGCTTGAGATATATTTATGAATTGTTTATACATACATATATATATATTTTTGAACCTGTATTAAACAGTCTAGACTCGACATTTTTCTAGATTTTCCTCGAGATGCGCTTCGTAACACCGAATGTCGGAATGGTAATTTGGATTTGGTAATGGAATGGAAGTTTTTAATGAATTATGTTTAAAGTTATCGTTGAAAATCTTAAGGAAGCACTAGAAATTTGGAAAGTCTAATAAGAAATCATTAATTAGTTACATCTAGTATGTTTATTCTAAGAATATTGTTACATATAAAACAGTTGATGTATATCTTTTATTATTATTATTATTATTATTATTGGGGAAGACATTCCTTATTTGTGCAATGGCCAAATTAAATATTGTTGATAAATTAAGATGTATCAGATAATTATAGGCTATGATTTTATGAATAAAATTTAATTTATGCTAAATATTGTGTAGAAAATTCAAATACTAACATTGATCATTTACATTAGCGAGGTTGCGGCCAAAGTTTTCAACGCAAAAATGTGTACATCAGTTGTTTGGTACCGCCTTCCTGTAAGCCTAGAAGTTTGACAATGTCGAGCGTGATTCCACTGATGTTCCAAATGCCATTGTAGCCACTGATCCATGTTTAACTGTTGCTAGTGTCCTAAAAGATGGGAGAAATCTTTTCTGAAAAGACCGAAAGGGAATTTGGTTGGTATTCGTGTAATGTAAACCTATATATAAACTTTACGAGAATGCATCTCTTATAATAAAAATACAGTGTAGCTTGATTATCCTAAAAATCAAGTGACCGAAACTGACTTCAGAGAGTGCTTATTCAAGAAATTGTGAGGTTTCTATGTACTAAAGATTGTTGGTATTTTTCTATAGGCCCACTATTGAGCTATCTCATAACAAACACTAATGTTAGGTTTTATTTATTACAATACAAATAGAAAAAGCACAATTAATTCTAATGCATCAGCAGATTTTTCAACTTTCATGATGATCAAGCCAGAGATTTAGTAGTGTTCAGTTTACGTGATGAAAGCGAAAGCATATATTACGGATAATGCCGACAAAACCGAGGGGTCTTAGCCAGCTTTGTTTATATTCAGAGCAGAGCCATAGCTATGGGGCTCTGCTCTGAATAGTAACTGAAGTATAAAAATAATTTTCTAAAATTAAAATACACAAATTATATTTTAAAAATCTGGTTATTATCACACTGCAAAGTCACAGGCTTTATCATATTAATGACCCATGCATTTTTCTGTATTATAGCATTGTTTCTATGCTTTATACTTTGTATTATACTTATATTTGCATGCATTTAGACTATGCATTCTTATTTATTAATTAGAATAGTATGAAAGTTTGTATATTTGGGAAATATGATAAACAGGAATAGAAGAGTTAGAAAGAAATTTTCAAAGGATAGAACTGTTTTTTTGTGTTTTTCTTGGCTCTGATGAGGGCCTCTGAAAGACGGCCATAAACGTTCGAACATTAAGCATTTTTTGTTCACTATATGCTGGAATTTGCATTTAGGTGTCAAGTTGTTTAAGAACAGAAGGATGAGTAATGAAATTACCAGATTGGAGAAGGCAACGGGTAAATTTACAAGGGATAAAAGGATGCCAAAAGAGGCACAAATGGCCAGTGCCTACGCTCGTGTATGGCAGAAGAGTCACAGGAATCATAATACTGTGTGCAAGAAGTGGTATTGGTGACATAATGAGGAGAAACTGTGTGAGAAGGAAAAGTGTATGGTTCAAAAGGTGAGTAAATCAGTTCTACAATGCTTTGCCACATTGATAGAATGAAAGCATTGTTGAAGAGAGTATATATGGGAAAGGCTAAGGAAGGTTGGAACAAGTGGATAAATAAATGAGTGTGTAAGATGTTGAGTCAGAGAAGGAATGAGGAAATGTGCTAGAAAGGCACTAGTGTGTCTGGACAGGAAAGTATGAATAAAGTTGCTGAATGGATTTGTAGGATTGTGTCCTCAGGATGGCCCAAGAGTTTTTGGCACCCTAGGAGACTTGCCTAGTTAGTTTGTAATTCGGGCTGTCCCTGAGTCTCCTTTTACCTCTGCTCAACCATTCTGAATTAGGGCCATGAGAGTGTATGTATGTCCAATACAATAGTGTGAAGATCTCATGATGATAAATATTAAAAATTTATGAAAATTTAACATCAGTTGCATCCATTAATTATCCACGTGGCAATAAATTAATACAATTTAAACAAATGTTAGTAATTGTTTATTTATAAGTAGCTTCTTTCAGTTATAACATGTATCATTTATTGATCCAATCAATCAATCAATCCACATGCATAAACTCATGATCAAACTATGGCGCCATCTGGAGTCAAAAACTTTCCACAAGTTTATTATTATATATATATATATATATATATATATATTTTTTCTTTAAATATTTTATATATTTGTATAATTCCTTATATATATATATATATATACAGTGGTGCCTCGTACAACGTACTTAATCCGTTCCAGGTGCACGTCCGTTATACGAAACGCATTTTCCCATAGAAATACATGTTAAAACATATAATTCGTTCCGCAGTATAAAATAACCGTACTGTACCATAAAAAATGAAAATGGAGCAGACACCAATTATGCCGGGTAGTCAGATGTTGTGAGGAGGAGGTGGAAGAACACTTTCTTTACACATTCATACAGATACAGACTTTTTACACATTGCAGCGGGTCTTTTTTTATTGTTTTTTAATCGGAGTCAGATTCAGGAGAGGCTACCGGAACNTTAATTAATTTTAAAAGTAGGGAATTTCTGCAATTTTTGAAAATTTAAAAAAAATAATTATTATTTTTAGTCAAACGAGCATGCCGCTTCAAAGTAGGCCAAACATGCGTTTTCTTCAAAAATGTCGTTTTTTTTTCAAAAAAATTTATATAACGTTTCAAATATTTATCCTAATAAATAAATCTCGTTACTATTTCATTTCCCAACTGCATGTTATTTACGGAAAACGTTGCAGCAACAAAACTTACCCACGGGCTACAATATGTATCGTATAGTGTAACCCTCTAGCACGTTTCCGACGATTATAATTGCAAAAAATAAAAGAAAAATCTAAATATAATGCGTAAAACGTGTATATTCGGCATAATTTAGAGACTTTTATAACAACGAATAAAAATATAAAATGGCAATCGAATCTGAATTAAGTTATATTTGTAACATTTTATACTTTGATTGAATTCATGTCACTTTTATTATTTGATTATGCAAATAGAATATTTGTATAGGTTAAAATATGAATAAGCGTTTTGGCCTAGTGATTCGAGGTCGTAAAACTGTAAATTCAAATCACATGCAGAGATAAATAGTGTAGCTATCAGCCATATTACTTTCGATGGCCGAAACGGTTAAGGCGTCAGTTTGCCGCTCTGGATCCAAGGATTGAATTCGGCCAAACTACCCGAGGAATATTTTATGGATGATAACTCCCGGATATATCGGGTTCGTCCTTCACTATCTAGTCGCCCCATTGTGGATCTGGCCAATGGGCATGAAAAAAACGTTTGCCAAGGGGGTTTTTTTCCATGCCGATTGGCACAGGACAAAAAGAGAAAAAAGCGTTACTTTCTTCTACATAAAAACAAAACAAAATGTTTAAATTCACTCTAAACAAGCGGTGTTGTTGACCTAAATATTAGTCACGAAAAATACTCATTTCTTTAACGGTTATATAAAATTTAAAATAATATTTTAAAAATTATTTTTACAATTTTCCAGAAATGTTTATAAAAAATAGGAGAAACTGTGTGAGAAGGAAAAGTGTATGGTTCAAAAGGTGAGTAAATCAGTTCTACAATGCTTTGCCACATGGATAGAATGAAAGCATTGTTGAAGAGAGTATATATGGGAAAGGCTAAGGAAGGTTGGAACAAGTGGATAAATAAATGAGTGTGTAAGATGTTGAGTCAGAGAAGGAATGAGGAAATGTGCTAGAAAGGCACTAGTGTGTCTGGACAGGAAAGTATGAATAAAGTTGCTGAATGGATTTGTAGGATTGTGTCCTCAGGATGGCCCAAGAGTTTTTGGCACCCTAGGAGACTTGCCTAGTTAGTTTGTAATTCGGGCTGTCCCTGAGTCTCCTTTTACCTCTGCTCAACCATTCTGAATTAGGGCCATGAGAGTGTATGTATGTCCAATACAATAGTGTGAAGATCTCATGATGATAAATATTAAAAATTTATGAAAATTTAACATCAGTTGCATCCATTAATTATCCACGTGGCAATAAATTAATACAATTTAAACAAATGTTAGTAATTGTTTATTTATAAGTAGCTTCTTTCAGTTATAACATGTATCATTTATTGATCCAATCAATCAATCAATCCACATGCATAAACTCATGATCAAACTATGGCGCCATCTGGAGTCAAAAACTTTCCACAAGTTTATTATTATATATATATATATATATATATATATATTTTTTCTTTAAATATTTTATATATTTGTATAATTCCTTATATATATATATATATATACAGTGGTGCCTCGTACAACGTACTTAATCCGTTCCAGGTGCACGTCCGTTATACGAAACGCATTTTCCCATAGAAATACATGTTAAAACATATAATTCGTTCCGCAGTATAAAATAACCGTACTGTACCATAAAAAATGAAAATGGAGCAGACACCAATTATGCCGGGTAGTCAGATGTTGTGAGGAGGAGGTGGAAGAACACTTTCTTTACACATTCATACAGATACAGACTTTTTACACATTGCAGCGGGTCTTTTTTTATTGTTTTTTAATCGGAGTCAGATTCAGGAGAGGCTACCGGA